TGTAATTTAAAACTAAACATTTAAGTGCTTCCCAAGAGCTGTTATTGTAAAATTATCTCCTGAAGGCTCCCATGTAGCCAGTGCATTAAGTTTTATGCCGCAAAGCAAAGCTCATTGAACAAGCTTTAGTGCAGACTAATAGCTGCATTTCCCCATCCTAATGGTTTGTGCTTCCCACTTTGGCCCATGGTAAGGTGAGGATTTATCAAGGCCTGCTAGCATTCGGGTGGTTTGTGCTTTATCCTATTATCATGGAATGCTGAAACGACTCACCAGTCAGGAAACCAGAGAAGAACTTTTATTGTCTCTCTTGAAACAAGTACTGAAGAGTGACAGAAGACTCCTGGCTCCACCCAGACACAACAAGTCCAGAGCTACCTAGTGTATGGTTACCAGACGTCCCCCTTTCCCAGGGACAGTGCCTGGATTTACAAATTTGTCCCCGGACAAAATCCATCCTGGGAATGTCCCCGGATTTCATTTAATGTCCCCAGATTTGTATTTTAAGTGGTGTAGATTTATTAGTGCTTTTGAATTAAGGTGTGCTTTTGAATTATGGTGCTGGAGGAGACTCTTGAGAGTCCCATGGACTGCAAGAAGATCAAACCTCTCCATTCTTAAGGAAATCAGCCCTGAGTGCTCACTGGAAGGACAGATCGTGAAACCGAGGCTCCAATACTTTGGCCACCTCATGAGAAGAGAAGACTCCCTGGAAAAGACCCTGATGTTGGGAAAGATGGAGGGCACAAGGAGAAGGGGACGACAGAGGGCAAGATGGTTGGACAGTGTTCTTGAAGCTACCAGCATGAGTTTGAACAAACTGCAGGAGGAAGTGGAAGACAGGAGTGCCTGGCGTGCTCTGGTCCATGGGGTCACGAAGAGTCGGACACAAATAAACGACTAAACAACAAGATTTATTAGTAGGGAATGAATGTTGCATGATTGGTTCAACAGCACAGGACACATCATATGGGGACTTCCAGCAAGGCAAAATGGCGGGCGTCACAGCAGCAAGCAGCTTCTGAAGCCAGCCAGAGCCAACTGCTCTACCAGGCTGGCTCCAGGCTACTGAGGCTGCCACTGCCACTGCCGAGGGGGAACTGGGAATGCCCGGAGCATAAACTGGGGGAACTGCTGACCCACCCCCCATGACCCAAATCGAGCCAGGAGCGAGAGCACCTGGCCACCTGGCCAACTGCCCAGTGGCACTCCAGGGCCAGGAGAACCCCGGAGCCGATGCAGGGAGAAGGAGGAGAGCAGAAGGAGAAGGAAGAGAGAGAAGGAGGAAGGAGAAAAAAAGGGGGAGCCCCGACCTTGCCGCACCACTGCCGCTGCCGCTGAGAAGGAGAGGTAGGAGAGTACCAGGTGTGCAAGGACACGTGGCTGAGCCCAGGCCCAGCCGGAGCCTACTCCACAGCAGTTAGCACTCCAAGAGAGCAGGCCAGGGCCCAGAGGAAGGCCATGCGACAGAGGAGACCACAGAAGAGAAGATATTACTTCTTAATTTTTTTAAAAAAAAAATAACAAAATAACTTTCTCTCTCTTTTTTTTTTTTTTAAAAAGTATCCCCAGATTCTTTGGAAAAAATCTGGTAACCTTAACCTAGTGATTAAACTACATCTGACCACCCATTGCTACCCTGTGAAACTAAGAAACATGTGCTTTTCTGTTGTTTTAAAACAGCCAGTGGAATTATGTAAACTGGAAATAAATTGATGATTTGTGGGCATGTCTCTCTTCCCAGCTTCCCAAGTCTTGCTCCAAAAAAAGTCTGCAACAGAGTGCCGTGGCTTTAGTCTGATTTGGCGAAGCAAAATTAAGTCAAGGAGCAACCAAGAACTCATCACTGCAACATCAACAAGAAGTCAGTTCTATTTTCTGCCATTGATCGGTGTTATCTGCTAGGTGGGCATTTCTTACCAGAACTGGGCCAAGACATTTTGCTGCCTAAGGCAGAAATGAAAATCCCCCAACTCCAAGGGATAGGGGGGGAGACCCTCTAGGTGCATTGTTCTCAAAGCTACATAACTTATTTTGGCACCTGAGGCAGAAAATCCCACCTGTGCCTTTCTCTGCAAGTAAAGTTCAACTATACAACCTTTAGAAGACATCTGAAGGTTGCCCTGTATTGGGAAGTTTTTAAATGTTAAATGTTTTATTATCTTTTTGTATATGTTGTAAGCAGCCCATAGTGGATGAGGTAATAAGAATAAGAATAAGAATAAGAATAAGAATAAGAATAAGAATAAGACACCCCTATTCTAATCGGAGGGTATGGAAATGGGGTTATGACAGAACACAGACAAAACTGACATAAACCAGAGGTATAACTTTGCATTGCCATTTAAGAACAGTGGCTGATAAGCCTGGACTTCTTGAGATAACTCATCAGTCAATGTTCATGGTTCAAAACATTTTCAAGTATGAAAATGATGTATCAGTGGTATTTAATACCTATAAAATTAGCAAAGATGTATATAACTGCTTCAAATGGAAATGTAAGGAGAAGGAAGGCATGTTCTACCACATGTGGTGGACGTGCGAGATAACAAAAGCATTCTGGGAAATGATATATAATGAGTTGAAAAAAATGTTTAAAATATCGTTTGTGGAAAAACCAGAGGCTTTTTAATTGGGAATTTTAGGTGCAGAGATACCAAAGAAAATTGACCGGGAAAATCAGAAACCAGGAAGAGAAGAACTTTAACAAGGAATGGGGAAAATTTACAATGTATTTAAGAGAACACTGTAAACAACTAAAAACTTTGGCAGGATTTGAGTAACGCTTGTAATGTACTAAAAATAAAGGGGGGAAATGGATTATTTAAGAAAAATAGAGAAAATAAGTGAAGCAGTTGAAGAAGATTAAAAATGGTAACCATGGAAGGATGGAGGGGAGTCAAAGGGTTCAGAGAATCCTAGAGGATTGTGTTGATGTTTAATGTTTGAATTCAAATTTGCAATGTAAAACACAATAAAAGAATATTTTAAAAAGCAAACAAAACGCTTTCAAGTATTCCACTTTGCATTGTGTGTCACATGACTGCCTAAATAAGATGCTAGGTTGTAATCCTTTATGTTTGGGGCCCATCTGACCTGTAACTTGTGAGTTAGCAGAATATATCTCATTGTGATCCTGATAGGGTTAACAACTCATTACATCCGTGTGAGGATTATGCTTTACACTGCACAGCTTTGTGGTTACAAAAGCCAAACTTCCCATAATCCCATTAAACAACTTCTTATCTCAGAGATGCTGAGATGTTTATCAGAACCATTTGTTAAAGAGCTCCTGCTAGTTTCCAAAATGACCCCATGGAGGTATTCCCAGGACTCAATCAGCCTAAGATGCTGGATGCTGTGAGATTTAAATCACAGTTCCCAGCCCAGCAAAAACCCAGCCCTAAAACTGAGAATAATATTATGAGGGTGTTCTGTCAGAGGTTTTCTCTAACCAACTGGGCAAAGTGTCCGTGTTCAGCACTTTAAGTTGTTGGGGGAGGGGGCTGTTTTTGCTTTTTGTATATTTTTATTTATCGTCAAGAATAATATCTAGCTACAGAAGAATAAAAATGTCCTCAGCAGTAGAGGTATTTGTCATTTTTGAGTCAATAACAATCAATAGCAGGTTGATGAATGCAATACATCAGCTAACAATAGAACAAATAAATAGGGCAGCCCCTATTTCACTCTTTTAGTGATGATTTGGTGACATTTTGGGGTCTCTTCCAGATTTGGCACTGTGTGCACGTGCATGATTGCTGTCTATCGGACACGCATAAATCAGTTCTTGCCTGTATTAATACTGGGCTACATGGACTCCATATGAGACACCTTCCTATGTTCTTATGTGCCGATCTAGAACAGGAATAAATACCATAGTTCCCTCCTGTTGACATTAGTCTACAACTCTTATCAACTCCTATAACCATGACCAATGGTCAGGGGATAACAGTGGTTGTGGCTCAACACATCTGGAGGCTACCACATTAGTTACCCCTGCTCTAGAAGTAAAATCTCTAACTAGGTGTGAGTATCTGCATTTTGTCTATACTGTAATGCACACAAATGTAAATGTGTGTGGATGGCTATAGTACCACATGATGCACACTTCCATTTCCCAAGCTACGGTTGGAAAGGTACATTTCGAACTGATTATATCATATTACACACCTAAGTAAACATACGTAAACTAGAGCTGTGAGAGTCAACAATCCCCCCCCTCCCAAAGCTCCAAAAGAGTGTATCATATGACCTAAATCTCCATAGTTAAATGTTTAAATTACGTGACAGAGGGCTAGTCTATCATGAGTCAAAATTCTTTGGACTGAGTTGAAGTTGCTTTACATTTCATAATAAAATATTGTATAATCTGACATCTGCTGAGCCAGATGTGACCCAACAGATGCTTTGCCAAAAATATTGCATTGAGAATATATATGTTTTTATTGAAGGGCCAGGTGCCTTTCCATGAAAATGCCTAAGAAAAGAACTGCAGATGAGTGCTAAATAGATCAACACATTTTCTGACTTGTTCCTGATGTGGATTACATGTCAGACCGGAAGTAAGACCAACTTCCTTTCAAAACCAGGTGTTAGGTTATTTCAGTGCTGGTTCTCAGCTACAGCACCTTCAAGATGGACGATCAAACTGAGAATCCTCAGGTTGTATCTAATCTTACTGAATACTCTGCCCAGAATGAGAATGACAGCAACGTTACAGCAGTGGGCCCTCTCTTTTTCTAGGAGGCCTTGGCACACGCCCAAACTTGCAGAAGGACTATAACTCAGTGGTAGAACACTTCCTTGCATGTAGAAGGTCTTTGTTTCATTTCCTGGCATCTTCAGGTAGATGTCTCCATACTGAAACACTGACGAGCCAATGCCAGTCATTGTAGAGAGCAAGATGGACCAATATTCTAACTCTGTATAAGGTTATATAACTGTATAAATATATATAACTCTATATTTCTATGGTTATCCTCCACGGAGGCAGCCATGATTCTGAGGTAAAAGTGAGCCTCTCACGCATTTTAATTCAGGTTTTCTCAAATTTTACAGCATTTACCAAGAACATGAGGCAGGACAAACAGAGACCTGGGAATCAGCCCTAACACATATAATATTCAGAACAAGTTTTCAGAATATGCTTGAAGCCAACAGCACATTTTTCATTATATATAACATATATTTATTTCAACAATATATTACATTTCTTTCTACGCAACCAGGCTATAAATACTCTATGTGCCACTTCTGATAACTCATAGCTTCCCAAGTTTTGAAATTTTATACAAGTATTGAATTAAAAAAATACAAAAGTAAGAGCAGTCAAAATAGTTTCACAATGTCTTTTTTTAAAAAAAGGAAATATTGTAATTTACAGCACGTGTTAAAAACTCTGGCATACAAACACACAGAAAACTTTCTAACAACTCCTAGATTGAAAAGCATCAGTCAAAATCTGAGCAGCTAGTTATGCAACATGTCTGCGATACATGTGAACTTACTGATAATGCTATTTGCTGGGCTACATTGGCACTACATCAGGATTTCCCCTCTCCCCAGCAAGAATCACGGTTCTGTAAATCAAGAGCGACCAAATAAACAAGGATCACAAAAACATAAGGTAAAACTCCAGGTTCATTTAGCTGAGCCTATATGTACTGACCAAGCCAAGACAGAATTGTCTGTTTCAGTGTGAAACATTCACTGATAGAACCTCAGCTGATCAAGGACCACACAGCAAAACATGACCTCTTTCAGTAAAAGGGATAGTCCCTCTGCTTTTTGCCAGTATCCACCAGGAAGATTTAGACTGAAGGCCCCTTTAATTGAAGAGAAATAAATGAAAATAGTTCAGTGAGCCCAGCAAAGTAGCAATAGCACCTTCCTGAAGACAGATGCCCAAAGACAAGAAAGGCACTGGCGAAATGGAAAATCCAAATGGTTCTGGCCAACCACTATTCCACATTCATATCATTGCATAGAAATGTAGTGTATCAATATTCCACTTCACGTACACCTCACAGTTCACAACACTGTAACCAGGCACTCTAAAACAGGCATAGCCCTGGCAGTGCTCGGTGGTGACTGATAGGCTTCTTGAAGAATGAGTTTGGATCCAGTATTCCACAGAGCACCTTCTCATCAAATAAGATGCAGTAAAAGAACACATATACTTTCCAGTTCAGTGAATGTAGATGTTTTGGGCGTCACATGCCACTGGCTCAAGAAAAAGGCCATGTTTGGTGCAAGTTCCAGTTATTCCTTCTTTTGGAGGGTTTCTTAAGCGGGAGGTGAGCTAAGAGGCATCCCAGCGCCATAGGCCAGTGCACTGCAAGTCTGAGAAGCATCTTTCCTGAGAGTTAAAAGTTCTGTTTCTTCACCACAGTACGCCGTAGTGTCTGTATCGTCTGAATGATATCCTGACTGGTAGCCACTTGTTGGATCTGAAGCTTCAGACATAACAGACTCATTACTTTTACTGGAGACCAGGCCACTGCAAAATAAAAATACAGAATTAGCAATTCCACAACACGCTCTGCAATTTTTTTTCCAGTTCAATTTTTGTTTTATTTTGCAAATAAGCATATACCACCAATGGTAATGGTAAAGGACCCCTGGACAGTTAAATCCAGACAAAGGTGACTATGGGGTTGCGGGGCTCATCTCGTTTTCAGGCCGAGGTAGCCGGCGTTTATCCACAGACAGCTTTCTGGGTCATATGGCCAGCATGACTAAACCGCTTCAGGCGCAGCGGAACACCACCGTGACGGAAGCCAGAGCACACGGAAACACTGTTTACCTTCCTGCCACAGTGGTACCTATTTATCTATTTGCACTGGTGTGCTTTCAAACTGCTAGGTTGGCAGGAGCTGGGACAGAGCAACAGGAGCTCACCCTGCTGTGGGGATTCAAACCACCAACCTTCTAATCTGCAAGCCCAAGAGGCTCAGTGGTTTAGACCACGGTGCCACCTGCATCCAACCACCATTGCATCAGGCACTGGGAGGGGTGGGAGGCTTCATTGACCCTGTTGAGATACCTGTTCCCAGGTGGTTCCTCTTCTCCCCAACATGAAGTTTGTCACTATATGAAACTTTTAAGTATGGGTGCCTGAGTTCCCTTGTTTACCTCCTCCCTACCCATCCCTCTTTCCTTCTGGGCCATGTCTTTTGGATTGTAAATCTGTGGGTAGGTACTGTCTTCAGTCTTAAAAAATAAATAAATCTTCAAGTGGCCACTCCTGTTCTAAACCATTCTGAAACACATACATTATTGCTCACTTGCCCCTTCTTACCTAAAGGGCAACATCAGCTGTTTAGATTTATCTTCTAGTGCCTTTAGCTCTTCCGAGGCAAGAATCATCCCACTGTCTGTCTGGTTATCCTGAAAGACATGTGTCAAATTGATCAATCAATGGCAAAGTGCAATGAGGACTGAAGAGCACAAGCCAAATCAAAGACTTACGTCGTGAACCACTGTTGTTACTGTTGGTTCTACAGGCACGTCTTCAAAGGTCTTTACACTCACAGGACGGCTTTTTCTTTTACTTCCTTTGCGGTGCTGACTGGAAAACAAATATATTGCCTTTGTCAGTGTTCCTGTAAGTTCAGGGCTTGCTAATGTTTAGGTGGGCGCCAATGGGCACTTTTTGTAATTATGAGAAAATATTACAAAATGGCTGCCATGGTGGAGTGGCATAACGGAACAGCTGCCATGGGGCATGAAGTAACACAAAATGGCTGCCATGCCTAAGAGTATCACAAACAGTGTTGGATGGTGGCCAAAGGCCCTGGTAGAGTGGAAGACAGGTAGATTAGTACCAGGTGGAGTCAGAGTGAATAATAGGCAGAGTCATCCCCTGAGTTGCTGTAAAAAAGATGGAGGTAAGTTGGAGGCCAACTGAGGGCAGACTGAAGTTGGTAGGGCCGTACCCCATTCACCCGAGTAGACCAACCAACCGTCACCAACCACAAAATGAGGGAGACATCCCTCCCCACTTGCCCATCAACAGGAAAAGGGCACTGACATCAGCCACCACCGCGTTCACTCCCAGGAAGCAACTCTTGGCACCTCTGTTCTGTTCAAAATAGAAGGGAGGGTGCCCATTCCTGCAATCTAATGAAATGTGGGCATGTTTAAGAAGGGGTGTTCGGTGGAGCATAGGCCCAACCAATGCAAACAGGAACTGAGGAGGAAGAGCAAACAATATCTCACACATTGTGGATTCTAAGGGGTTATTTACTGAGACTTTACTGAGACACTTGCAGGCACTGAAGTGTAGGTGGGTCCCCACAAGGCAAGACACAGTGATAACAGCAAGAACCTTTATTGAACTAACAGAACTGGACAACAGGGGCAAAACCACTGCTTATATATATTTCTGAAGGTCTGGGCCACTCCCACTCCCAACGCTATTGGCTGTCTCAACTTCCAAGCAGCGAATCATGACTTAGTGTTTAAGGCCCAATGGCAGAGGCCCAAATTCTGAAATGTTCTGTGACTGGATATCGAATCAGAACACAGGGGCTTAGAATCCTTAGTCCAGACTCAAGCTCAGGCCAACACAAAAAACTGAATACATAACAGGCACCATAGAAGGTATTGGTGGGGTACACTGGTGCCTGTGGGCACCATGGTGGTGACCCTTGATATAGCTGATAAGAGTGCTCTGCTCAAGCTTTTCAGTATCATCATCCAAGATCAGGGCAGCACAACCTGTGACCCACTGAGCCAAATGCAGCTCACCAGCAGCTACCTGCCTACCTGTCCAGGATGCAAAGATAGAGAGTAGTGAGGCAACAATTTGTGTCCCAGTTTTATTTCGTGGATCACAAATGGCCGTTGTTCTGAACTCCCAAATACTGTATCCATGAGTTCAGGGAAAGCACTATGCATTTGGTTCTGATGCATTTGGTTCTCCAACCCATGGCTTTGACCATGCTTTTGGTAACTTGAACTGATCTTGAGTCATTTGTAGTGAATAGAAACTCAAACTTTTTTCATCCCACTTCAAGTCTGTAAGTAAGGTTTGAGCAGAGGCTGGCAGGCTTCTGGCTTGTGTTTATGGCAGACACTTAATAATAATAATAATAATTTATTATTTATACCCCGCCCATCTGGCTGGGCTTCCCCAGCCACTCTGGGCGGCTTCCAAAAAAATATTAAAATACTATAATACATCAAACATTAAAAGCTTCCCTAAACATAATCATACAGTGGTACCACTGGTTACAAACTTAATTCATGCCGGAGGTCCGTTCTTAAGCTGAAACCGTTCTTATCCTGAGGCGCGCTTTCGCTAATGGGGCCTCCCGCTGCACGTGAGCCTCTGGCGCACGATTTCTATTCACATCCTGGGACAAAGTTCGCAACCAGGAACAGCTAATTCCAGGTTAGCAGAGTTCGTAACCATAAGCATTCGGAACCAGAGGTACCACTGTAATAATTTCAGGTGATCCATCTGCCACAATCATGTGCAAATCCAGGCCGGGGGGGGGGGGGCGGGACTATGGCTGATTACAGGACAAAGTGTCTATATGAAACAGCCTCTTTTTTTACTTTTGATTCTGAAAGCAGTTCTTCTGAAGAAAACCCAAGAGACAATCTTATCTAAAAATAAATAAATAAACTTCAGTGGCTTACTGTTTTTCAGCATCTTTTCTCTCTTTTAAGATGCAAACTAACAAAGAAGTCTGGGTCACGCTCATAATTCTTTTCATTTGGACTGACTCTGCTGGAGACGGCAGCAGCAGCTGACTCAGCAAACTCACGCACACACCCTCCGCCCTCCAAGCGAATTGTTGAAGTTGGCACCGAACATTCCACAACTCCCCTTCGCCAAAGAAAACCATCTGAGCTGGAAGCATTCCCAATGCTCTGACAACCAGTGCTCCATATTCTCCTTGCAGAGGGCCTCAACAGCTACCTCCATCGCCAAAGTAAGGCACTGAAATTGAACGCTGATAGGTAGCCTAAAATGGAAGTTGCCCACGGCAGATTTGGTGGTGATCTGAGAATGGCACCTCTGACAGATAAACCGGAAAAGCTCTTTCTAGGAGGCAGAACATTTGAACAAATGGCATATTTACGTTGCTAAAATATTATTTTGGGGCCTTGATGGCAGGGTGGGGGGAATAAATGCCTTCAAAAGTAAGGATGGTTCATATACTCTACCGGACATCACTTAAGGCAATAGTTGGTCCAGCGTGTGGCCAATTTTTGGTGCTTTACAGATGAATAGTAAGTCTAGCAAATGCTTACTGATTATTTCTCTCACATGAATAAAAAAAGCATCCTGAAGTTCCTTGTTTGTTTGTTTGTTTGTTTGTTTGTTTAAGGGGGCTATTTTGGCTTGCTGGGATCTTATGCAGCAGGGTCAAATTCTTTTATTTCTGAAAACTTTTAATGAAGTTTACAGTTCCTTGGATATATATTTTAAGTCTATTGAATTAGTATACTGATTGTTAAATTCCACATTGGCCGTTTTAATGTTTATGTGAAAATTACGCTGAAATTCTGGTTTTTGTATGCTGGTTGTTTAGCCGTAATAATAAATATTGATGCTATTTTTGCATAATTGTTAATCATCATCATCAGGGGGCTGGCCCACCCTAGATCCCACATGAGGGCAAGAAGATGGACCCAAAGATCTGATTGCTCAGTACAAGCACCAGGTCCATGCAGCACTCATCCTGATTAGCTCAGGCTGTGCATGGTACACAGGTGCAGAACTTCCCCTTTTTTCTAGTATGGGGTTTGAGCCAGGGGCGTCCATTTTGTAGAACATATACTCTTCCAGCCACCTACCGCGCTGAGCATGACGACTGCCTGTGGAGGCTGCAAGACTCGGGGAGCTATATGGCTGCCTTGTTGTGTCCCCTCTTCCTTCCGAGTTTTGCTCCAAAAGCTTTCCTTTTGAGAGGCATTAAGGGATCTGAACCTCTGCCTGGAATCACTGGTGAGCCATGGGCAGCATTTCTGTGGATGCCTGTCATTTTTACATTTTCAATTTGGGTGCTTCCTTCCTCACCTCCTGAGCCGGATGAAGTAACCATCCCGCGTTGGCGTAGTGGCAACACACCCCTCTGGTCCCAGCGAAATCAGAGTATGGAATTGCTCTACAAATATTGCAGCCTAGTGAACATGGCTAAATATAAAGACACAGCAGCACAAACTCCTTCCTCTTTCTCACCACGATCCCCACTTTCAAAGAAAAATCTGGCAGAGAGGGAAACGCCTTGCAGTCCCTATGGGATTCTCATTAGGCTACAAACCTCAGTTCTAACGTGCTGTCATAATGGAATTGAGAATCACACACTTCCTCTTCTTCCCTGCAGGAAACAGGTGAGGTTGGCAGGGACAACCCAGAATCCTCTTCTATGTTCAGCAGGGGAGTTTGTGGGAGGACAATATAGTCCTTACCATCCTGATGTAGAAAGACAGACAAAAATAGGGTTTTTAAAGATATATATGGGATTTGCGGCTGGAGGCATGCCCCCCCCCCGGGAGTTTACAGTAGTTTTGGGGGGTTTTTTGTTTTTTTTAATAATTTTTTATTAAGTTTTCAGTAAAAAATTAAACAGAAAAACATAAAAAAGAAATACACAAATACACCTTAAAAAGAAATACACAAATACACAGTACATAATCCAAAGAAAGAAAGAAAAAGAAACAGAACAATTAAAAACAATCACCTTTTCATTTCCGTGTTTAAATTTACTTATTTTCTGGACCTCCTCATACCTCCCTCTTTTGTATTCCAGTCCAAATTGTTTGTCCAGCAATTTCTTTTCCACTTTTTTAATCCCAATCTTTAATCTTTAATATAATATAGCATTAAAATTTTACCTCTTAAAATACCAAATTTCCATTTCCTTAAACTTCTTTAATCCTAATCTTTAATCTTAATCTATCTATAACTTTAAATCCTGTACAGCTGGAAACCACTTATTTTCCATCCAGCATCACTCTAGCATTCGAGTTTACAGTAGTTTTTGGAGCATGACTTTACCTGGCGGACATTTGCTTGCAATACATTTCCCAGATGTTCCACCAAATCTGAAAAGGTGGGCCTTTGCTTGGGTTCCCCATGCCAGCAGTCCAACATTGTCTGATACCTGAGAGATATAAGAGAACGGTAGCAGTGTTACAAAGCAAAATATGCCCCAGGACAAGATCATATTCTGCTTCTTAGTGGTAAAGGCAAAGGGACCCCTGACCATTAGGTCCAGTCGTGACCAACTCTGGGGTTGTGGTGCTCATCTCGCTTTATTGGCCGAGGGAGCCAGCATACAGCTTCCGGGTCATGTGGCCAGCATAACTAAGCCACTTCTGGCAAACCAGAGCAGCGCACGGAAACGCCGTTTACCTTCCCGCTGGAGCGGTACCTATTTATCTACTTGCACTTTGACGTGCTTTCGAAGTGCTAGGTTGGCAGGAGCTGGGACCAAGCAACGGCAGCTCACCCTGTCGCAGGGATTCGTACCGCTGACCTTCTGATCAGCAAGTCCTAGGCTCTGTGGTTTAACCCACAGCACCACCTGCGTCCCATAGTGGTAGGTAATAGCTAAGAGCAACAAGCTGGTCAATACTGTACTGCCAGAACAAGAGAAAAGTCACATTTACACTATTAAAGCACATTTAAAGGACACGGCCTCCCGCAAAGAATCCTGGGAACTGTAGTTTGTTGAGGGTGCTAGGAATTGTAGGTCTGTGAGGAGTAAACTGCAGTTCCCAGGATGCTTTGGGCAAAGACATGTGCTATAAATATGCCCTGAATGTTCTTTAAATGTATGAGCTGACTGTGACCAAATATTTGACTTATTGCGCTTCCTTCCTCCCTGCCATTAGTAAAAGAGTCCACTGGCCACTGGTGGCTGAATTAGAATGAGATTTTCTTTTATGACCCTCTCCTAAGTAAATTATCCATTTCTGAGACAAGGCATGTTTGCATCAGTAAAAATTCTTACATTTCAGGTGTTGTATAGTCTGGTGCCCTCATCCTTGTTCCCTCTTTCAGTCTTCTGCAGAACTCCTCATCAATCTTGACACCAGGGTATGGCGAGGCTCCTGAAATGACAGATTTCCTTTTAGTAAGGTGCTTAAGATGCTGCTGTTGATTTTCAGCGGAATATATGTCAATTCACTGAAATAAGAGCTAACTAAAATGATAGAAGCTCAATTAGACTGGATCTAGAGAGACTCACTTACATTGGACAGGGAAATAAAATGACTTTTTGCATGAACAACAGTCATAGAATGTTCCTGAGATGTGCAGATATTTGATCTGAGTTTCATATTGCCAAGCTCTCATTTTTCATTATTATTATTATTAATTTGTAAATTTTAGTTTGCAAGGAAAAGAAGGGGGGTGAGATTAAGTAAAATTTGAGGAATGTCACCATCCTTATCATCATCAAACAGAGAACCGTCCTGAGACCTCCGGATATAGAGTGGTATATAAATTCAACCAATCACCATCCTCATCATATTACTAATAACAACAGTAAATTACCATCAATGAAAACTATCCAATTTCCAACCAGGAAAAGGATGCTTATTGCCAGAAGTGAGACCCGTTAAGAACTGCAGTGGCAAAGTTTCCTTGAGATAGATTGGGCACATCAAGAAAATTATACAACTGCTTATCCATAGAGAATACATTTATGTTTTATTAGAGCAAGATTATAAGCAATTATTTATCTTGATTAAAAAGAATATGGAATATTGGTAAAGCTCATTTAATGCCCACTCTATATCCCCATCTTGCTTTCTCACTGAGGACTAACAGAGTGCAGACTACAAATACATTTTCTATCCTGTAGCTCAAAAACATGAACTAGTTTGCCTGCATGTTATGGAGACATGGATAGGCATCTAAAGGAGATTGCATTCATTAACTCTGTTATCAAAATGTGAGAAGTATACCATGAAATCCTATGGGAAAGGAGGGAAGGGATGCAAAGGTAGTTTAACCAGCCATCTAAAGCCTTGCCAACGTTGCTCTGTTTTTGCTTTGTTTTTCTTTGAGCAGTTTCTCTCCCACTGGGAACAATGGTAGAAAAATTACCAGAAAAGACTTAGCTGCTAAGCTGGTTTAAATGTCTCCCTGGCCTACTGGGGAACCGAAATGACTCTAAATCCAAGCATTTTCATGTGCTCTCCTTCAAACGACCCTGAACCACCTCAACAAACATTTTTTGGCACTTCCAACAATGGAGTTCTGACCCCTTGTTTTGCAGGATCTCCCTCTCAGAAGTCAGGGTTCTGCCTCTGATGTTGGGGACATCCTATGGCCCATGAGATGCCCTCCAAGGGCCCATGGGATTTCACCCTGGGTATCCAAAGTAATGTGACTTACCTAAGGAAAATATCTCCCACAGCAGTACACCAAAGGACCAAACATCACTTTGAATGGTGTATACTCTGTCAAAAATGGTTTCCGGTGCCATCCACTTTAGGGGTAGTCTAGCCTAAATGTTTATTAGCAAAGCAATAGACAAAAGGAAGCATTAAATATATGCCACAATGTCATTGTTAATATCTTTTCCAAGTAAACGTCCCACTATTTCGGAGACTTCGGAAACTTACATCTCCCTTCCTGACATAATCTGGATCTTTGTAGATATCTCGGGCCAATCCAAAATCACAAATTTTGACCACGTTGTTCTCCGATAAGAGGATATTGCGAGCTGCCAGATCTCTGTGGATACACTGCAAGAAGAGGAACAATGGGCCTGTTATTTGGGTTGTTCCAAAGAGCTTTGTTAACCTTGTCTTAATTGGTATCCTCCTTGCAAGGCTCAGCACTTTGTGGGTTATTAAAATGAATGTCCCAATAAGGCTTAAATGAAACTCAGAGTTCATGCTGAGACACAGTCTTCTGCACTGCCTTAGACGATAAATGAGAGAAGATAAATATTTGAAAACACATGTGTGGGAAGACTTGACATGAGAACACTTTCAAACAAGCAGTACCAACTGTGGAGGTATAGTACATGCAACACAAACAGGTTGAAATTATGGGGTAGGCATGGCAAGAGAGACAGACCAAGAAGACTTCAGAGCCTGCTCCACCTGGACTCTCCCTTCTTCACACATACAGAGACATCTACCAACAACTGCTCTGTGGAGTAGAACATTAGATGCTGGCTCTCGCTGCAGTGGGGCCAATTGTTTTGTTTTGAAGGTGTGTTTCTTGGTGAATCCAGTATACAGTGGTACCTTGATTTGCGAACTTAATCCATTCTGGAAGTCCGTTCTTAAACCAAAGCGTTCTTAAACCAAGGCGTGCTTTCCCATAGTAGAGGGAACTCAATTTACACTCAACAGGAAGCAGAACATGTTCTGCTTCCAAGGCAAAGTTCACAAACCAAAACACCTACTTCCGGGTTTGCAGCATTCTTCATCCAAGTTGTTCATAAACTAAGCTGTTCTTAAACCAAGGTGCCACTGTATTTTACAGATGATGTGTGTTTGAGAACCATGGCTTACATCACCCCACCCCACTGACCACTTGAAAATTGTTGAGAGTCTTGGTGGTCCAACTTAATGATTTTTCTGACTGTTTTAGCAATTGTAATGTTCTGCATTAGATGCTGTACAATTTTTTAAAAACTGAATTTTATAGCTTCTTTTATTTCTTATATACTGTATTTTATTGTATTACAATTTGAATTCCGTAGGATTCAAACCACAATACAATAAAACATAAAGAAATAAACGCAGCAGCAACAACAAAAATCAATATGAGTATTTGAAGCGAGAGATTTGCCATCTCCCCATCTTTAACCATAAATCCACAGACATGCTGCAGAGCTGATGGATGAAGCTCATGGACCACGTCCTCAGACAACAGTTTGGAAATCCCTGTTGTAAGCCACTTTAAAAACTCTAGTCAAAAAGGGAAATGTGCATTAAAATGAATTAAAAGCCAGTGTATGCCTGGTGACAGGTGAATTTACAAGTGCTGACATCTTTACCAAAGAGCTTTGCAATAGCAACTGCTTTAAATCAAGAGTGTATAGCAACGTTGAGTGAACTCTGGCACTATCCTTATCACAATCGTTTCCAGTGCCATGCAGTCATCTGACAAATGTCATTTCCCCCCAAGAGGAATGCCTTACTTTCCGCGAGGCCAGGAATTCCATCCCCCGGGCCACCTGGAAGCTATAGCAGATGAGGTCCTCCAGGCTTAGTGGGTTCTTGCAAGGATCTTCAGATGTTGCTGCAAAGAGAAAGGTCAATGTATATAAATGCATCATACACTGCACATCCTGATTAGCACTAGGTAACACTTAGTATACAGAAACCCCATCCTTCCTTCATTTCTGGCTTCCAGGTATAGGGATGCTTGGAGCTGTGCAGTGGTAGTTACCCTCAGTGATTCAGCATGGAAAAGCAAGTTAGAATGTCATATTGTTAAAGGAAACTTCCATACTGCACCAACAGCTGCACAATGAAGGATATAACATGTGTATTTTAGATACAAAATACATATTTTCTTTTAAAATACATTCATAAATTGTCAGCGAATTATCAGCGAATGGTACAGGAACACCTAATCCTATAAGAATGGGGAAGCCAAGGAAACACACTTTGATCTCAATATTCTAAAGCCATGGATAATGACGTAAGACGAAAACCCACCATCCCCCTCTTCTAAATCGCAGAGAGATCGCTCCTCTCCAAAGCCGGAACTGGCTGAGCTCTGGCTGCTTGCAATGCTGTCCAGACGTTTCTTCGGGTCTGCAGAGACTTCACCATTTCCCTGCCTGTACCGAGCATGATTGGCCTACAAAGTTTTAAGAAAGAAAGAAAGAAAGAAGAAAGGAGGGAGATAACAGAACTTGCATTATTCTATCATGACAGAAAATAAAGGGGTGAAAACTCACACCTTATTAGAAAGGGAATATGGATGAGCAGAAGGGACGTGGGTGGCGCTGTGGGTTAAACCACAGAGCCTAGGACTTGCTGATCAGAAGGTCGGCGGTTCGAATCGACGCAATGGAGTGAGCTCCCGTTGCTCGGTCCCTGCTCCTGCCAACCTAGCAGTTCGAAAGCATGTCAAAGTGCAAGTAGATAAATAGGAACCGCTCCGGCGGAAAGGTGTTTCTGTGCGCTGCTCTGGTTCACCAGAAGCGACTTAGTCATGCTGGCCAGCTCCCTCGGCCAATAAAGCGAGATGAGCGCCGCAACCCCAGAGTCGGCCACGACTGGACCTAATGGTCAGGGGTCCCTTTATCTTTTATGGATGAGCAGTGATGTAGGAGAGCTGAAAATAATGCCAATATATTTCACATCTGGCAACCAACGTGCCCCTTTGGTTTCAGATAGTACACGGGTAGACGAGTCTTAAAAACCCAAAGCACAAATTTCCAAGGCCCTCTAGCAGCTATAGCAGCTCATTTACCAGAAGTAATGTATTGAGTGTTAACTCTGGAACTGTATACTTGATTCTGACCAAACTAAGCCTCCTAGAACACAGTATACATCAGGGTTTCCTAATGATATAACAGAGTATAATTTAGTAATCTACCATGAGAATAATGGAAATGTCCACACAGTAATTGCAAACGTAAAGTCTTAAGGAAGGTATAAACCCATGTTGGCCATGACTCGGCGGGCACCCTTAGCGCCCCCCCAACCCGCAAAGGAACCCACTAACGGGCTCCGAAGCGAAGAGGGGGAAGTGGCGCGGTGCTGAGAGTCAACTGCTTTTTCCGTGGAGCGAAGCCGCATAGCCGTTGCCGGAGAGCGCTGCCTTTTTCCTGGGACAATTTGGCTTCTAAAATAATCACCCGTGAGTACTTAAATTTCGGACAATTGGATTTTAAATAAGGACTTGCGAGCAGAAAGGAATTGGACTTAAAATTTACTTCAATTTGGCACTGAAACGGGAAGGTCTAAACAGGAAGTCAGCCTTCCGTTTCTTTGTAGACAGAATAAAGCAAAGACAACGTAAACTAGAGCTCAGAAAATCGCTTCTAAAAGATTAACTTTCATCATTTAAAATTGTTGAACCCCCTTCGGAAGCAGGAGAAGGAGGAGGATCTTTTTCGGACTGTTTAAACCTGCAGAAGTGAGTTTAAAGTAAAGTAACTTTCCACCGTCCTGATCCTGGAGCGGGGTGTCAGGACTGACGTTTGAAGCTCATTGACCAGAGACAAACGCTTTTGACAGATAGCTAAAAGAAGAGAAACATAGTGATTCCACTGTTCCCTTTCGCATTTTAAAGGAACAAATATTGACAAAATATCTCTAAAAGGAAACTTTGTTGCTAGATTCGTCCTTAAAAGAAAGAGCAAATAGAAGTTTTCCCCCTAGAGGGAGACTGTGAAACTGTAACTAATTCCAGGGAGCTTGCAGCTGTTACAGATTACAATCGTGGGAAATAGACTTGTGACCTTGTAGGACAATGTATTCAGAAGCTCTGTTGTGTGCTCTCTGTAAAACAAATGCCCTACTGGAACAGTTAAATGAGAGTACTGGATTTGATGACTAATGCGGTCAGAATTTTTGAACAGGCAGTGGGAAACTATATGGAGCCCACCCAGGAATTAAATCAGGAGTGTGCCCTGACAGAACAGATGAGAGAAGAGGATGTTGCTGAATCTTGGGCGCCAGAGATGGAGGGAGCTGTGGCCCTGCAGGAACATGAGCTTTTGGATTTGACAAATGAACTTGGAAAAAGCCAGATTTGGAAAGATAAGGTTTGGACTGGTTTGGAAATGGGGGGTTGGATAGACCCCCCTATGCAGGGATGTTTGGACTTTCCAAGTCTGGCAATGGGCCGTGAGATGTTTGGGGCTGTGGGGGCTCTTAATCTTGGAGGGATTCTGAAACATGTTTTTAAATACCACATGGAGTTTAGTTTGGACTTTGGAAAAGGGGCTGATTTGTTGAAAAGGGTCAAAAACATTACCAAGCTGGAGTTCCCACGTGTGAAAGGAGAATATGAAGAAGAGCTGCGGAAGGGACATGGAAGAGACTTAAGGGCCTCGGATATAAGGTTACCAGGTTAATGCGCTAGATCAATGGGATAAAGAGGACTGACAAAACCCGGGACCAGGAGGAAGGGACGCTGGATGAAGATTGGATTGTTTTTATTTCTTTCTTTTTATTACTAGGATTGTTTTATAAAATTGATGAATGTTAGAAAAATGTTGGAACAAAATTACTTGGCTCTAGCAAAAATGTCTAAAGAATTAGGTAAGAATATTATGGTTATGAGAAGTTGGTAAAAATAAGAGTTAAGTTTTAAGTTTTAAGGTTTTCTATAAGATAAGATGAAAATAGATTAAGGTAATGTAATGACAGAATATTATGAAATATGGAAAGGATTTGCTGCGATAATTAATAACTAGGATACAAAAAAAGGGAGGAGGAGGAGGTCAAAGAAAGAAGGTAATGAAAGTTGAGGATTCGAGAATGATGGATTTGTTTTCATCTGTTTGTGGTGTATTTTTGTTTTTTTGAATCTACATTGTTTGGTGTGGTTTGTTTTCTTTTTTTCTTTTTCTGCTGTGTTCTTTTCTGTAATTCTAAAAAATTTTCAATAAATATCATAAAAAAAAACCCCCATGTTGGCCATGATACAGCCTACAGAAGTGTAGGTTTCACTTAGAAATGTTAAATCGTTATTTTAACTCCTATTTTTTAAATATTTATATTTCATTGAAAATTTTCAATGAGAAAATAAAGCAACAGACAAAAATGAAAGCAAAAAACCAAAACCAAACAAAAAGAATACTTGAAATTGTGACACAATACAAAATATAGGTATATAAGTAATAGTTTTTCCAACTAATGAAAAATTACTAATGTGACATTATAATTTTTATAATTGTCTTTTCATAACTTCATTCCAAATATCATTGCATTTATCCAGTTATTTTCACTCCTATTCACATCCAAAAGATCTCACAGTAGAGAAGTCAAAAGGATCTTAAAACTGAAAAGCAGAGCATCCTTCCCCCTACATTTTATGCAGGCCTCACCTTGTATGGAACAAAATCACTCCGCTTGCTTCTCAAGTACACCGACAGATTTCCAAACTTGCAGTATTCAACAATCACCATGAGTGGCCCTAAAGGAACAAAATGAGAACAAGATTTAGAGGACTTTCTCGTAGCCTTTCCTCTAGCAACTGCCTATATCAGGCGTGGCTAACCTGTGGCCCTCCAGATGTTGCTGAACTCTAAATCCCATTGGCTCCAAGCAGGATGGTCAATGCTCAGAGAGACGGGAGTTGGAGTCCTGCAACATCTGGAGTTCCTCACCCCTGCTCCATATCACACCTGTTAAATGTGTGGTCCAGGAAGCAGAATGAAGCCCTCCTTACCATCACTGAAAACGCACCAGGGATCAATGAAAATATCTGTTCTTGCCTTTCGTTTTGTTTGGTAGGTGTCAAATTGTGCAGGCCTCCTCTGTACATGTTTTATTATATAGTTGCTCTCACTTTCCCATGCAACATTTTTGTAAGTATTTTAAATATTTGAACCCCACCGGAAAGACACCGATTAGCTTACCAGAAACTAATAATAATAATAAAACAGTGAGGAAAAGGTATAAAAGTGCAAAAAAACAACAACCCAGTAGCAAAATATTCAGCATTAAAATGGGAGGGTAAATCAATAGACCAAGCATAATTCTGCGGGATTCTATAAATCTCCATTGTATCTTGCTCAACCTAGAGCTTCTTTTTAAAGTTAAATACCTCAAAGGCACAAAGAATCATTAGGTTCTTTGCCTAGTGAAACTTCCCGTCCTGAGCCGGAACCTTTGGCTTCCACTTTTCACCATTATTTCAGCCAATGAGAAACTGGGTTCATGCATTTGCTGAGATAAGGCCTAACTTTGCCATAAAACAGGCCAGGAATGGGCAGGGTGAATGCATTTTTTCCCCAGCCGGCAGTGGCTTTCTAAGGATGCACAGAAAGGAACACTACCCCACATACACATTGCAACCAAGGAAGGAAAGCTCTGATTTGCTGTTGTTTGCATTGCTGTTTTATGAAACGCTGTGTCTATTTTTGTTACACCTATTTTTGTGGCTTTTGTTTCTTGATTGCTGATCTCCAGGTTGTAGACAGAAGTCTCTGCAGGCGTAGCTGCTTGAAACCCGTTAATGGCAGACTCTGGGGGGTAAAGCAGTGAGCACCACCGAGCTATGCCCTCTCCACAAAGTAGCAAAAAGCAACACTTACCTCCCGGTTTTGTGCAGGCCCCAAGTAAATTGACCACATTGAGATGATGACCAATATGAATGAGGATTTTGAGCTCCGACATCAGTGCCCTATGTTCACTGTGTGTTGCACCCTCTATAAATGGAAAAGAAAGATAGATATTGTCCTGTCTATTGAGTAGCAATAAAAGTCCGCTTGCCATCTTCCTTCCAAGTAGGATGGGAAGGGATCACACAATCCAACATGTCCGTGTGGCTTCTTTATGACTAGTGAGCAAAATCTTGTGTGATCGAACTTAAAGCCTATGTTTATGAAAGCATTTCTATGAACCTAAGAAGGTACCTTATATCAAATCAGACCACTGGTCCATGTAGCTCCGTGTTGTTTATATATTGACTGCTAGTGGCTCTATTTCCCTGGAAAATAGTGGCTCTATTCCCTCTTTTCCCTGGAAAAGACCCTGATGTTGGGAAAGATTGAGGGCACAAGGAGAAGGAGACGACAGAGGGTGAGATGGTTGGACAGTGTTCTCGAAGCTACCAGCATTAGTCTGACCAAACTGCAGGAGACAGTGGAAGACAGGAGGGCCTGGCGTGCTCTGGTCCATGGGGTCACGAAGAGTCGGACACAACTAAATGACTAAACAACAACAACAACAATGGCTCTATAATTTTAGAGAGGAGTCTTTCAAAGCCCAACCTGGAGATGTAGGGGACGGAACCTGGGACTTCCTGAACAGGGGCATAGTGTGGGTTACCGGCGCCTCAGGGCAGGGCAAGTGTTGCACCCCCTGGTGGACTAGGCAGTGGCCAGTCCCTTCGCCAGCCAGCATCTAATCAAGTGCGCTTCTCCTTGCAAACTAGCCCCAACCTGGAGCAGAGATAAGGCAAAGAAATGCGAAAACAAGAGCGCCGCTGTGTTGCCTTACCCTTCTGCCCTTGCCACAAGGTGCTCTGGGCAATGCACATGGCTCTGACAGTGCTTTCCCGCCTTCCTCTTCCTTCCTCACTCCCTCTCAGCCAGCCATGGGGCGGGTCACATGCAGGCATCCCTTTTCTGGCCACGAGGAGGAGGAGGAGAAGACACCCGAGCTCCAAAGACACAGCTCAGGCACAGCTTGCCTCTGGGCAGTTCCAGTCTCGGTGAGGGACCCTGTCATGAGGGCACCTGGTTGTACCCCCTCAGAAATTTGCACCCGGGCCCATGACCCCCCTGCCCCTCCCTCATGCTGTGCCACTGTTTCTGAATGCAAAGCAGATGTTCTTCGACAGAGCTACTGTGAGGGTCGGCTCCTTGCTTGAAGGAAGCCACAAGAGGGAGCAAGATGGTCTTTCATCTTAGTTTAACAAAGAAAGCATAGTGCATTTAATGTGCCTAATGAAAATTTAATAGAGAATAGGCATAAGCCAGGCTTCCTCAACCTCGGCCCTCCAGATGTTTTGAGACTACAATTCCCATCATCCCTGACCACTGGTCCTGCTAGCTAGGGATCATGGGAGTTGTAGGCCAAAAACATCTGGAGGGCCGAGGCTGAGGAAGCCTGGCATAAACAGTGGGCAGAAAGCATGTGTGGAGTTCAAAATATCTAACCAAGTTCAAAACAATCTAACAAACTGGGAAAAGAAACTCATTGCTTAATGGAAACAACTAATACAATAAAAAATGAATATACTGTACTCTCCCAATATTCTATTACTGTTATGAAAGCTTCTCACCCTCTAGGTTGAGCTAAGTGAGAAAAGATTGGCAAGTTTATATCTTGTAGCTATATCCAATAGCTACAACCAATTGAGGTCTTACAATGTCATCAACAAATGCTGATTGCCCAGAACATCCTTCATAGGTGAATTTTAGTTCTCGAGCCTCACCTTTAAGCATTTTGACTGCAACAGTCCGGCAGGTAGTCATTTTATCGATTCCAAATGCATCTGCTTCAATCACTTGGCCAAAGGCTCCCCGACCAAGCGGCTTACCTGGAGACAAAATTAAACAAAAAGATAAATTTTAAAAATATTTCTACTGTCCAAGCAATTGAAGGGAGCTGGCTACGTATTTAGCAAACAAGGCTGGTGGATCGCGCCGCAATGAAGGCAGAGAGCACCACAGCTATAAAGGGAGCAAACATAAAAGCAGAATCCTGCCTCCTCACATGTTGTGTTACTGCAAAACATACACCTCAGTGTCGACCAACGTTTCTGGAAATGGCATCGAAACAAGAAGTCTAGAGCACAGGGTTCCTAACTGTGGTCTGTGGTCCACCAAGAAGAGTTTGGATTTGATATCCCGCTTTATCACTACCCGAAGGAGTCTCAAAGCGGTTAACAATCTCCTTTTCCCTTCCTCCCCCACAACAAACACTCTGTGAGGTGAGTGGGGCTGAGAGACTTCAGAGAAGTATGACTGGCCCAAGGTCACCCAGCAGCTGCATGTGGAGGAGAGGAGACGCGAACCCGGTTCACCAGATTACGAGTCTACCGCTCTTAACCACTACACCACCAATGGTCTGCAAGCTTCATTTAGAGGTGGCCCTTGACCTGTCTAGGGCTTTGCGGTTATAGAGAGAAGATGGCACACCTAGTAAATTAAATGCTCATATTCAGTGCTTTGTTTCCTAGAAAAGGAGGTGCCGGTACTCACTGTGAAGTTGTTACAGTAAATTTCACACTTTTTAACCGAAAAGAGAGACTGCGTACCCTTGAGTACCCCCTGGGGGGGGAGCACTGCTCCTATTGATTTTTAATTGTATTTTTATTGCTTCTTTTATTTCTTGAATTTTAATGCATACAACTTGAAATCCATGGAATTCAAATTATAACACAAAACATCCAATACATAAAAGCAGCCATAAAAATGCAATTTTTAAAAAATCAAACAGCATTGCATTGCAACTGCTACAAAAGGCAGAAAATCATTATGGGGTCTGCCAAGACTATGTTTTTTTTAAAAGAAGTTTGGGCACCACTAGGCTCAAGTGATTTTGTCTCTAGGCTGTTGAACTGGGGAACAGTAGGCAGCACAATTTAATCAGGGAAACTAGGCCCTCTAATTTGTAAGCACTGTTTCATCGCCCCAGAAGTGTGCCACTATGATGTAGACACTCTGTGACAATGGAATGTTACTTTGCATGCACTTATGATTACTCCTTTTTAAAAAATTACAAAAAAATCTTGTGTTCCCAAGACTTGGTTGGAATCCAGTGCTGAGGTCTGGTTATGAAATTAAAGCCTAAGGAGTCTCCTGGGAAATTCCAACTCCACTCTAGGTATTTCTTGCAAACCTGAAAGTTTCAGCGCATACATGGTGCTCTCCAGTGGATAGTGAACCAGGAGTTCCAAGCTCCAATCAGAGCACACAATGACCTCCATATTAGATATTAGGATAGCTCAGATGGTTAGAGTGTGGTGCCAATGTTGCAGGTTCGATCCCCGTATAGGACAAGTTCTGTATTCCTGCATTGCAAGGGGTTGGACTAAATGATCCTCAGGGTCTCTTCCTATACAATTCTAAGATTCTATCACGCATTTCCAAAACCAGCACTTAATTAAAGCAGCCTCTGATTTCAAGTTTAGAGGGACATTTCACTTGCTCATTTGTAATGAGACCCACCTAGCTTTAGCCTATCTCTGGGGAATTCCCATGTGTTGGCATCGTAAGGGAGACGTTCACATTGTTCATCCATAGGGACTTCATCAGGATCCATGATGATAGATAGGTAGCCAGTCTTTAGTTCTCCTCCATTGGCCTGAAAAAAATAAAAGCAGTAGTCGTGCAAATTAAATACAATTATCCTTACTGCTTGGGCAATGAGCGGTGGGTCACATTTACTGGCATTATGGATGTCTGGAACTTTTTTTTGTTTTTTTGTCCACAGGAATGCAAGTATGCAGTTTCCCCCCAGAAACACTGCAGGGCATGTGCCCACAAATCATTGTTAATTACTTGCTTTATTAATTTCTGGAAAAGGTCTTCTTCTTCTTTTTCCCCTCCACCAAATGCCTGGTCAATTAAAAAGCACAATTTATGTGCCCTCAAATTCCAGGAAAGAATGTGATGGTACCAAGAGGAAAAAATGCGGCTGTTGATTTAAAGACAATGCAAGAAACAACACAAAAGAGTCCCCATCAGTTTTCATTTGCCATGCAAGATTGATGCCGATGGGACAGTGGGAGAATGGTTTCATTACCCGCTTAACGGTCCGGAGAATGATTACGAGGAGCAACCAGAAGAACATGGCAATTACCGCCGTTCCAACCAGAATAATGAGCTCGAGGTTCGTTTTCTCATCAGTGCCTGGGAAGAGACAATCGAACAGTTCATTGATAGTAGCCCAGAGCAGGTCATCAGCTGAAGTACTGAAAGAGGTTCCTTGTCTGAGAACAAAAATGTTAGGAGTCCAACACGTAGCAAGTCAACGAAGACAAAAATGTGTTAAAGGGAAAGTGTATGTAGGACACTTCAGTACACAGCACAAATCCCTCCACTGGAACTCGAGGTGAATTGACCCAAGAGCAGTCCATAATACTGGTCAGTCAAGGCATTCTCTGATTGATTCATCTCCTCACTCTATGAAATAAACCAAGTTGTGCACACTGGTATGTGGTAATATTGGTCTCCCAGCAGAGAGTAAAGAACTGAGCAGATCCAGTCAAAGTTAAGCACTTTTAGGTGTAATCATATGTTCCTGCAGAAAGCCCTGGGATTTTAAAAGTGCTTTAATTTTGTTGGATTGTGCCTTTTGTCTCCAGATAAATTTCCCAAAATTTCCAGTATTTCCAGTATTTCCAAAATTTCCAGTATTTATACTGCTCTGAATGGATAGAAGCCAACAAGCAGTATTATATGAAGAAATATTGGGTAACTAATAAGCAGGGATGAACAAATTTGTTTATTTCAGGTCTCTCAGTTTCTCATTTTTACTATCTTAAAATTTAGTTTTCCACACTTCTGCATCAATTTGCTTTTTTTATTTTTTGAAAAATTCTCCATGAATTTCAGTGTGAATTCTCCTAACACATTTTTGACAATTATACACACATTTCTGCAAGGAATCTCTTGTAATAAAATGCATTTGCTTCCACCAACACATGCATTTAAATGTACACTTTATACATGTGGTTTTTGTCACCATTACTTGGCTGGAGAACTGCATGGCAAAATTCAGAAACATGCAAATATTGAAGGACGGCTGTGTTTTGGAAAGTGCAAATTGGCTAAGTTTGCTTTTTTAAATGCAAACTGAAGTGAATTTATCTCCCATCCCTACTAGTAAGGGATCAGTGGAAACAACTGGGAAAGGTAATCCCGGCTGGGCATGAGATTTTGTTAAATGAGGACTCAATTGCTAGAGGAAGACAGCGCTCCCTGGGAGTAAATGAATCAAGATCCCAGAGTGTTGATGGGTGACCTCACCAGCACAGGAAACAGATGTAGGAGGCTCTATACAGATTACAAAGGAACTTGACCAGGTGTAAAGATTAGAAGGCCCAAGAGTTTCAGTATCTGATATAGTGTGAGACTCCATCTTAATATTTTCTTAGGATGCCAAAGTGCCTAAACTTGATTTTGTTATAGACAAGGTGCTATAGCTCAGGGAAGGTGATGTAGGTCCAATTCCCACCATCTTCAGGTAGAGCTGAGAAGAGTCCTGCCTGCAACACTTAAAAACTGGTGCCTATCAACGTACACAAAACTAAGCTAGATGGCATGGCCCAGCAGTCTTATTTAAGTCAGCTTCTTACGGGGAAGAAGTTTACTCTGGCAAACACTGATTAAGCTTATCAGCACCAAAATGGTTCTGCAATCAACATCAAAAGAACTCATTTTTACCATGAAGTTCACTCTTCACCCCATGGCTATATATTTCAGCTCTTCCATCACGCAATCTGTGCCTCACGTTGGTTTATTGTTTTAACATCAATCGACAGCCTGCGATGAGGCGGGTGATAAATTCCCTCATTCGAATCACTCTCTCACAATCACGTTTCAATTTCTACAAGCCAAAGTAGGCTACGCTCCAGCAAGTCATGTTTGTTGGATAACCGAAAGCACGTATTTACATGGAGGTCTATCTACAGGCACTTTCCATCCCACACAAAAAAAAAAATATGTCACATGGCACATCACTTCAATATCCTGCTGCGGACTGTAAGAATAACAGGATATAGCTTTGGATTGCTTGGTTAAAATAAAAATAAAAACAAAACCCTCAGCAGGTCATCACGCTGGGGCAAGGTTTCTTTCACTAGCTGACAAATCTTTTTTTTAAAAAAATGTGTCTAGGGGTGGCTTGTTAATATGCAAAACAAGAAATTTGATCAGAGATTTTAACAGAAGGGTGAGATATTTGATGAGTGAATGTGATTCAGTGGAAATATTTATTTTAGGGGGACCACTTACACATATGACTGCTCCCACAATTTACTTCAATGAAGTCAAAGGAGCCACTCAGATATCTTGTTGCGGTCCATTCAGTCTACCTAGCATCCTCCTAGTCTTTTCTATTTGGATTTTGACACTTCAGCTTATTTGTTTCTTGGCTACCACACAGTTTCTAGTCTCCCTGACTGGTCTACAGTTCTTACAAGCTTATTTCCTTTCAGCCCTGATTCCACTCAACAAACCATGTAGGTCTCAGTGAGCTCAATGGTTTTCTGCAAGAAGAGCTTGCAACATATATTTACATTTAAACCGGGAGGGAAAGGACTATCGAGACCCTGCAGTAATTGATTTTCTGCATCAACTAGATGATCTCTGAGGTACTATCAAATTTTATGCTTCTATGAGAATAAAATATAAATGGAGCAGAAAGTAACACTTTGCAAAACCCAGAGACCCATGGTTCATACCAACCTTCTACTTCAAAAAACGCAGCTGCTTTTGAACAGCCCAGGATATTACAAGCATGGCAAGTGTAGAGACCTTCATCTTCCTTCCTCACCCTCCGTATAGTGAGAGTTCTGTTCCCATCTTTCAAAACAATACCTTATAAAAAAAAAGACACAGATACAAATGTTTCTTTCATTGCCTTTGTTAATTTGACTTGGTCTTTGTTGTTCAGACAAAGACGCCGATAAATGTGGAATTTCGTAAGGGTTTTCTTATCTTTCATGAGGCTTGCACAGAAGCTCTGTATTTTATACACTCCAAACCCCCACTCTGACTCTTCCATCCAGCCATGAGCCTGGTTTAATCTCAACCAGAGCTCACCAGGATTAAGCCCCAGAACCTGCTTTCAGTGATAAGGATTAGCCAAACACCCCAATGATAAATAGGGGAGTTCCTCTGACAATGTGAGCAAGGAAAGCCTAACCACACATTTGGCATTAGGAAAGGGCTTTCAGATCAAAGGGCATGTCTTCAGCACAGGCAAAAGCTATCTCTCTATATATTCCCTTTGGTTAATTTTACAATGGCTGGATGGAATTTGATTATCAAGGCCGGCCCTACCATTAGACAGTGAGACAACTGCATCAGGTGACAGATGCTGGGGGCCAGCAGTGGCAGCTCCCCGCTTTCCCGAATTCCCCTGATCAGAGGCATTCAGCCCCTAAAGTAGCCTGCTGTCCTCAAGTGCACTGGAGGACATTATGCCACTGCATTATCCCACTGACAGTCCAGGCAGCTGAAATGGGGTGGCTGCCTCAGGCAGCCAAATGTATTGTGCCAGCCCTGATCTACCTGCAGAATTCCTCATATCCAGTGCACTTATAAAGCTCTCTAAGAACCAAAGAAAAACCTTGCTGGACCTACCAAACCCAGCTCTGTTTCTTATGATGGCCAACCAAATGCCCATGAGAAACCCAAAATCAGAATAGGAGGGCAATGGTCCTCTCCCACTGTTATTCTGGGATGAGAGGCATGATGCATCTGATCCTCAAAACAGTATAGGGCCAGGGCGGCTAATATTGAAACGAATGTGCACAGATTGAAGCAGGATGTTTCAAAACCAATCTAAGCAGGTTAGTTGAATGCATGTACAGGGTCCTCCACTGTACACACTGAAGGGTCTGTTGGCAGAATCAGAAACCCTTCCTCTGCTGGGCTCTGAGCACACAGACAGAGGCCTCTGTGTACATAATTGTATGCATGGAGATCTTGCCCAGGCGTTCAGCGCATATGTGTAGATTGGGGGCAGAGCCTAAAGCCACGCCAATGCTCATTCACCAAAGCAACAGGTATGGTAAAAATAAAGGCTGATAAAAGTAATAGTGCGTCCCACCAAATATCAGGAGCACAGAAAGCACATTATGCAAAATGTACTTCTTGGTCAAGGAATAAATTAGGAATTACGAGGGTTAGCCACAGGACAGAACACTCGGCCTCACCTGAATCTTCAACAAGGGTTACGTTGTTTTTAAACCATGTGATGAGTGGAGAAGGAATTCCATTTGCTACACAAGATACTTCTATAGTTTCACCAATATTTGTTGTTTGATTCTCAGGGTTTCGGGTGATTGCAGGTGCCACTGGTTCTGTTGCGGTGGTGGGGGATAAAAAATTCAGGATTTTAAAATGCAACTTATGAATTACAACTCTGAAGCAGCTGGTAAGTCATGGTACTGTTGGAGCACGAGCTACAAAATGAACATCTATAGCAGATTGGACTTTTGCACTTCCCAACTATTATCAAAATATATTTTAAAATGAATTATTTTGAGGGGGAGGAAATACATTTGAATGTTTAAACTAACATTTTTATGCGGATTTCAAAACCTATAGATTAATCTGGAATTGAGCTATTATGACTAAACTCATAAAAATGAGTTTTTATGAGTTTAGTCACAATCATGACACAAGAGAGTTTCCATGGGTTACCTTGAATAGCGAGGTGTTTGACAAGGCAGTGCCGTGTTTTGGTCTTTTTGTCCTGGGCTATGCACACATAATCCCCGCTGTCCTGGAGAGAAACATTACGGAGCATGAGTTCCATGGTGATGTTCTCTCCATTGGCTCTCGCAACTGTGGCATTCAGCTTCTGCAGTGCGTCCAGGTTCTTGCAAACAGGCAAAGGCAGCCTGCCAAGCCGCACCATGGAAGCGCGAGGACTCAGCTTAAACCAAGTCAGGTTTTCAAAAGTGAACTTGTCTGCCATACACTGCAAGGAGACATTGTGCTTCTCAGTTGGCTGACTCTTAGGCTGAAGGTTAATTTCAAGTCCTCCTGCGAACACAAATGGAGGAACTGGGATCAGTCATGATGAGATACATTTTGTATTGAGATGTGCAGCTAACACTTTCATTCTGGAAGTGGCTAAACTTCAATTTTCAGCTCATTACTATATTTATTTTAATTGTGTCTATACTGCTTAATCATCCAAACCTCTAAGCAGTTTTCTTAAAGCAATATAAAATAGACATTAAACTACCAATAAAATCAAATGCTAAAAAGAAGCTGAGCTAAAAAATAATAATCTAAATATAAGTAAAATCAACCGTTTTTTAAAGAATATGCATAATAAAATAAAATGGCAAAACAATACAGTTAATGCATCTACCTAATATTAATTGCCTAATATGATCGGTTTGTATTGGTGCTGACACAAAGCAATCCAAACTCAAAACAAAAAATACCTGCTAACAGAATGCCCACTGATTGTCATTCGGAAAAGACTGATTGATTGAATCAAATGCTCAGGAAATCTAACATTCTCCTCTGTACTCATTAATGAATAGTGTAGCACCCAAAACAGTCAAAATGAATTTGCCCTTCCACCACAGTGTTTGTGAGAAGACTACATGTAAAGACAGACAACCACATACTTCTAATCAGGCTCCACCCCTTGGTAACTCCAATCACTAGATCTTTCCTACCTCACACAAAGGCCTGGTATGAATGCAACAATAAGCAATGTCTGGGGATCGTCCACCCTGCTCTCCTCCTTTAACCCATGAGGAGATGGGAAGCTTTTGATTCCCATTTCAATGAACCACAGTTAATAGCACTCTACCTCTGAACTCTAAACTGTGTTAAACCTTAACCATGGTTAGTTAAGACTAACTGCAGTTTGTCTGAGTTAGGATATGATACCTAACTGTGGCTGTTTTAAAAAAAAGATGTGAAAGCTTCCAAACTCCTCTTCCTGGCCACGCCAGAGGAGTAAAGGGGAGAAGGGGATTGCATGAGCATGAGCTTTGCTGCCGATCATTTTCATAACAATAAACTATGGCTTATCATTCTGTCCAAAGTGGGCAGTGAGTGACTGAATTCCTCTTTGGGGAGAAAGGGGCAACTGGATCCATGGTCAGCACTGACTATAGCATTCCTGGACTTGGCAGTATATCAGAGATACTGCTTGGGTCAGATCCAATCCTGCTCTACCTCTGCATCTGTACCATGGATAATTTAGGAGTAAAAATCTGTTTCCAATCCCGGATTACTCTCACCGAAGTTACGCCAGCTTTAACATGATGGCTCATATAGAAGTGCCGTTTTCTGTTTTGCTACATCAAAATCGTAATTTTAATTGACGTTTCACATTTCACAATCAGAATAGGAAGTGAGTGCTCAAAGTTCGGTTTCCATCTTAAAAGAGTAAAAATGATCCTAAAGACAAACAACACTTCCACAGAACCATTCTAGGATATCATTATTTTTAAAGGAAATGGTAAATAGCACAAGTTTCAAAAGAAAATCTAGTGCGAACGTTGAACTTCCCTGCACATATCCTAGCAGTCTTACATATATTTAGGAGACATTTTTATACACTGGCAGCATTAATGAAACACATATCCATTTTGCCAATGGCCAGGCAATCATTGAGCTATACTTACTGGTAACATGAAAGGAAATGACCCTCTCGCCTTCTCCAACTTTGTTACTAGCCACACATCTGTACAAAGCAGATACATTTGCTGCTTGAATTGTGAGGGTGCTTACAGTCTACAAGAGAACAAGTCGAGCCATTACATACTTCACAGGCACTAAAGGCTTTGGTTAAATCTCACACAGTAAGTCAGCCGAATATATCACCATGGAGCTATAGGCTATCATAAATCCCAAGGCAACACAGCCAAACCATTGTTTTAGGTCTCTGAAGCTTCCTTGCCCAGCTGGTTACCCATTTTGGCAAACAAAAGTGAAACTGTTTAACCTTCCTAAACCATCCTCCTACAATGGCCAACACAGATCTTGTTGTCAGTACAGATATTGAATCAAGAAAAACTGAAAATAGACAACTTTCTCCAGCATTCTTTCTGTAATATGATGGTCATCACTAAGCTTATTTATACCAAAGTCTTCAACAGAATGTACTGCCTGCTTAGGATTTCAGCCATAAACGTCAACCCTAAACACACTTAGGAGGAGGTCTGTAAGCTCACTGGTAGAGGATCTGCTTTGCATGAAAAGGTTCCAGGGTCAATCCCAAGCATCTTCAGATACGACAGGGAAATCCTGGAGAGCCTGTGCTAATCAATGTAGACAATACTGAGCTAGATAGACCAATGGTCTAACTCAGTATATGGCAGCTTCCTATGTTCCTTGAGGGTTAATAATTCACTCACAGGAGCACAGACAGAGTGGGAAAAGAAAATGAGCAAAGCAGCTGCAATCTCCTATTCAGGAACCACCACTCTCACACTACGTCTTAGCATTACATGTGTGAGCCTGGTCAATGGGAAGAGGCCTAGGATTGTGCTGTTAAGTCTTCCAAGGAAGGGTCAAATACCATTTATCATAGTTCCACATGCAGTAGGTAAAGGTAAAGGGACTCCTGACCATTAGGTCCAGTCGCGGACGACTCTGAGGTTGCGGTGCTCATCTCGCTTTATTGGCCAAGGGAGCCGGCATACAGCTTCCGGGTCATGTGGCCAGCATGACTAAGCCAGAGCAGCACACAGAAACGCTGTTTACCTTCCCGCCGGAGTGGTACCTATTTATCTACTTGCACTTTGACGTGCTTTCTAACTGCTAGGTTGGCAGGAGCAGGGACGGAGCAACAGGAGCTCACCCCATCGTGGGATTCGAAACACTGACCTTCTGATCGGCAAGCCGTAGGCTCTGTGGTTTAACCCACAGTGCCACCCGTGTTCCGTCCACATACAGTAAGCTGCGGTTAAATAACTTTGAAATCCCTCCTGCCATGATTTAAACATTTCCACCTCTGAAGGCTTTTATAATTTGCAATTCTAATTCTAATATGTAATTGTATTTACCTTGTCTTCCCCCAATTTGTTTGCTCATTTTTATCGTGCATTTCAAAGCATGTGTTGACACATTTTAGGGATTTATATTAAAATATTACAGGTGCAATCCTCTGCATGCTTACTTGCGAACAAGTTCCACTGAACTTAATGGAATGTACTTCAGAGTAAATACACACAAGATTACAAGATACACCAATATCTGTCCCATTTTACAGGTGAAAAAATGAGGCTGAAAGAGAGAACCTGAGGCCACCTTGACATATAACAGGGCTGGGATTTACACCAAGTCTCCATTGTCCAAGTCTCCCTCACTGGACCACACGGCTCTCAGTTTCATGACCACACTCCTTAATACCCTGAATTTCAAATAAGAGCTAGATAATGACTGCCTCACCTTCATTTTCCCAGCAATAGCGACAAACTGTGTTTTTTCTGTTTCAATTCGATTTCCACCTCTTCTGTCGTTTATGTCTTTCCACTTCTTACAGGCGTAAGGATTGTTCCCCAGTCCAGCTTGGCTGAGTGGAAAAGAACACATAAACAAACATGACCCTTCAAGTTTCCGGTTGTTCGTATCAACAAATACCCAAGATGTATGCCCATAAGGTAGAGACAGGTACATCGGGCACCGGGACAGAACTTTCTGATACTGCAGACTTGGATTACAGGCCACTAGACTCCCTAAGAAAGCTGTGAAGGAGGAGTGAGAAATGAACATCAGTCCCTCTTATATTGAACTCAGGTGGCTGAGTGTCAACAAGACAGGAGCCATAACGGAGCTGATAAGAAATAAGAGGGGTGGATCAGCATGGACAGGTGAACTCTGGAGTAAGCAACAAAGGGAGTACCATACTCAAAAAGAACAGCGAATTGAGGCCTTAGCTAGACCAGTGGCTTCCTAGGACCATGGACTTTGAGTGTCCATTTGAAAAGAAAACCCCTCAACTGGAGGAAGGGTGATTCCTATCTAGCTTCAAGTGGTGGGTCGGGACCCATTAGCCAGTCACAGCATGATGCACGAACATTAGTTTACTATGGAACATTAGTTTACAGGAACATTAGTTTACTATGGAAGAATATTAAGAAATGGGTCCCCAAATGCATGTTTGGGTTAAAAGTGCATCCTGGGTCTGAAAAGGTTGAAGATACCTGGCTTGCAATGTCTTGAAGGAGGGCCCAGGCTGGCTGGCCGGCCTCCTGAACAGAAGTTATTCTACTCAGGAGGAGAGGATACACTGCAACTTTTTGTTGCAGAACCTATTTGTAATAAAGAACTATATACTCAAACTATATACACAACCTCCCAAGATGTTGCTGCTGGTATAAGAATAGAAATTCCCAGGGCCTAGACTAGAGGTAAAGTCCCACATGAGACCACTAACTAGGTCAATTCAATCAGGATACTGATGGGAGGGCAAGAAGCTATTCTGGAAACAAACGCCGATCCATAACTTTGACAATTTGAGTTGATTCCGTTCTAAAGGCAGACAGAGAGCAACAGAGAAATTACTGGATTCCTTAAAAGTATTTCTTTAGGATTCTGGGGCTTGTGCAGGAAATAACTAGCACCAAAGGAAGAAGATAGTGGAAGTCGTTTTTTAAAACAACAACAGGAAAGCTGACTCCTTTTTCTTTCTTTCTTGAAAAAATAATAATAATCCGAAAGGAAGTCTGGCCTTGTGCGAAGCTCAGATAAGGGAAGTGGAGTGGCCCTTGGTCAGAAGCTCTTTCTATCATCCCCAACATCAGTCAAGGCACTTCCTCTGAGATGCCCTTTCACAGAGATAAGGCACAGTGTCAAATTCAGCAGAGGGTCGCCATAAGGGAAATCAGAGAAAGAAAACAGACAGATTTGTCACGAGTACAAACAACAACAACAAAATTGCGAGTTGGCTGTTGTCCAGAGTTAAAATCCTATACTGCATAAATACAATTGACAGCAATCCTATAGATTGCTTTAATTTTGGGTTGTGCCGATGGGGCTACTGTTGGAATCCCACTTGCTAAAGGGACTAAGTCCCAGGGAGCTAAAGTACTTTGAAGTACACATATCTTTATGATTACACTATTAACTAGAATGCATTACTGTAGCCAGACCGTCCAAGTGTCCCTGTTTTCCAGGGATGTCCCAGATTTACAGAAGCCACCCCAGTTTATGATTTGATCCCAGAATGTCCCACTTTTCCTTAAGATGTCCCTATTTTCATTGGAGAAATGTTGGAGGACATGGAGTTATCCAACCTCTGAGCCGTCTGAAGGCAATCCAGTATAGGGAAGGTTTTTAAAAATGTTTATATATATGTTGGAAGCGGCCCAGAGTGGCTGGAGCAACCCAGTAAGATGTGTGGGATATAAATAGTAACATTTTCATTATGGAAAGGGATGACCCTATTTTCATCAGAGAAATGTTGGAGGGTTTGCCATAGCCCAGGAGGACTGTGGGTAAAAGCATAAGAGTTTTGCTTATTAAATGCTAACACCATTGCTCAGGAATTCTAAGAAGCCACACACAAAAATCAGTGTAGTTTAGAAATAAATGCTTAACAATAGTAGAGTTTTGAAAGGTTCAGCCTGCCATCTTGATTCAAAATGGTTTCCCATTGTATCCAAACAGACAACAATCCATGCCTTGATCTCAGGAACCATCATGCAAAATTTGGTTATGATATCATAAGGAGTGTCCAAACACACAGGGAACAGACAACTTTCCTAAATATTTAGTAGCTTTTTATCTTTTTAAAACAATTGTTTTGTGGGTTTTGTACTGTCAGCCATCTTGAGCAACTTTGTACAGAAGGCTGGGGGATATATATATATATATATATATATATATATATATATATATATCAGCTTAAAACAAGCAAACAAATAATCCCAACAGTGCACTAAGCCATCAGTTAAAAATAACACTTCCCAAACTTAACAGAGAAGCATGTGATAGATACACATTTAGAGACTCCTATGATGCATGTTTTGCCCTTGAGAGTGAAAATATTTGGGTGTTTAGCTGCCTGTGTTGCTGGAACCAATTCCCAAGTGCTTCGCATTCACAGAGTCATAAAGGAGCTGGAGGAAGTTGTGTCGACTGCCAGGAAGGGGTGGAAATGAATATTTTTATACAGCCTCTGCTCTTCCTCCAGTCTAGCCCAAAGTTAGGTTTTACTTTCCCACTTCACTGCACCAAAGAGCTATTTCAGTGAATAAGGTACAGCAAAATAAATTGAAAGAAACATCTTTGGCGTGCATTCTAGGGATGAGGATAAATAGGAGGTGAGAGTTTGGATTTCACCAGACACTGTGGTTAGGGTGAAACCTGAAGCAGATGAAAGAAGAGGCTCGCTAAAGAAGAGGAATGAAGAATGCACCAACCCAACACTCACTGTGACTTGCTTTCCTAGCTAGAAACCATGATATCCTCGCATGTCTGAATTAGGCCGCTGATGCAGGTAATAATGCCCCATGAAATTTGGGGAGCCAGAGATAGGTAACATGATAACACTGCCAGCGCTTCTCAGAGATTTCTGATTTGGCATACAGATAGCATTCCAAGAGAGAGCACTCTCAGCTGATCTTATGGATTGTTATAAAGGGATAAGGCAGCCTCTTTGGCGCACTGGATCCAAACCAGGAAAAATAGATACTAAAGTAAGGTAAAGGGACCCCTGACCACTAGGTCCAGTCGTGGCCGACTCTGGGGTTGCGGCGCTCATCTTGCTTTATTGGCCGAGGGAGCCGGTGTACAGCTTCTGGGTCATGTGGCCAGCATGACTAAACCGCTTCTGGTGAACCAGAGCAGCACATGGAAACGCCGTTTACCTTCCCGCCGAAGTGGTACCTATTTATCTACTTGCACTTTGTGCTTTCAAACTGGCAGGAGCAGGGACCGAGCAACGGGAGCTCACCCCGTCACGGGGATTCGAACCGCCAGCCTTCTGATCGGCAAATCCTAGGCTCTATGGTTTAACCCACAGCGCCACCCGCGACCCTTAGATACTAAAGTAGTTGGACCCTTTTGCTTTTTCTCCAAGCAATACCAACTTTAGGGTTGAATCAATGGCAAGTCATGTTGTACTTACTGTGGGTTGAAAGTACATTCTTCCTCAAACTGCCAGTACCACTGAATCCTGGCCACGGCTGGAACAGCGTATACCGTACATGTTATGGCTTGGGTGGAACCATACTTATATGAATCCACAGGGGCTAGAAGGGCATTCTCCCCAATTTGAGGTGGAACTGCAGGAGGAAAAGAAAGACAATTACATTTGTGGGTTCTGGCAATCACTAATGATTCGCAGCGAGCAGTTACAAAAGAAGGGAAGAGTGTTCTTCAAAACACAGGACACAAAACTACCATCACTGTTTGACAGTAACCCAAGAGATAAAGGTAAAGGTAAAGGGAACCCTGACTATTAGGTTCAGTTGTGGCTGACTCTGGGGTTGCAGCACTCATCTCACTTTATTGGCCGAGGAAGCCGGCATACAGCTTCCGGGTCATGTGGCCAGTATGACTAAGCCACTTCTGGCGAACCAGAGCAGCGCACAGAAACGCCGTTTACCTTCCCGCCGGAGCGGTACCTATTTATCTACTTGCACTTTGACATGCTTTCGAACTGCTAGGTTGGCAGGAGCAGGGACCGAGCGCAGGGAGCTCACCCCATCGCGGGGATTCGAACCGCCAACCTTCTGATCAGCAAGCCCTAGGCTCTGTGGTTTAGACCACAGCGCCACCCGTGTCCCTATAACCCAAGGGATACTATTGTGCTAAAAAAAAAAAGGATACTTTTGATGCAGCAGGGAGAAATATTTCCTGTGCAGCCAAATGAAGGGGGAATTTGAGGAGGTGAGGCTGAACGGGGCAGTTGGGGGGTGTCAGGAAGGATGGGCGAGACTCAGGAGGACAGCAGGGGAAGGACACGCGATGTGCGGAAGTCAGGGAGAGCAATGAAGACAGGAAAAGAGCAGGACACAAAGGCAACTCCTACATACACACACAGAGTGCGATGGAAAAAATAATCCTTTTGTGAAACAACTGGATAATCAAAAGTCTTCCAAATAAATAAACTGAGGTGGATGTTGGAGTCAAGCAAAATAAGCGCAATGGATGGCAGCCCACCTGGGGTTTGAGAGACCAACAGCTTTTGTTGCCTGTCTGAGGCAACACAAAGAGAGGTGTGGTGAAAAAATAGAATAGCAGAAGGCTTAGTGAGTCAATGATTCGGCACCCAACACTACTGCCAATGTGCTACTGGGCACAGTTCGAGGTTCTGCTTTTAGCAACTTGGAACCCAGCTTGCCCACTGTATCTCTGGCAACTGTGCTCATCAGATGGGGCACTGCTGAGAGTACCAGATGCCCCAGAAGTGTGCTTTAGCTTGTACTAGAAACTGGGATTTTGTGTAGCAGTTCCAGCTCTCAGAAATCAGTTACCAGCCAAAATTAGACAGGTGCCTAGCATGATGTTTAGGCACCCATTGATGACTTTTTTGTTGTTGTTTAGGAGAGCTTTCTCTGAGGTGCAAACCGTGTAGTTTATAGAAGTTCAATTTTATATCTGACAAAATTGTTTTGTTGCTTTCAGAGTTTGTTTAACAGATTAGAGTTTAAGTTTCTGTGTTTTTATTCTGTTCCGTACACCATGTACACTGCTTTGGTAGCTTTAGCCTGTGAAGTGGGGCTATAAATGTGCTTAATAAATAAATGAAACTGGATTGCTGTGTTTAGAACCACTCTAGAAAATGTGTTAATGGGATGGTTATTTTAATAAACCCCAGGTGGGGAAGAGGGGGAAAAATTGGTTCGCTCTGCACTTTAATGCAAATCTACCTAATTCAAGCTTCCCCAAACAATGTGTGAACCAAAGAACCACTCTTCTTTGAAATTCACATTTCTCCACCCCCACCCCCCAAAAAAGGTAGGAAAATCCTATTAGGATTACTAATGCACAAAAAATGCATATATTTGGGAAAATAGAATACAAAAAATTTTTGCATTAGAGAAAATTGCTTAGGAAAAAAATGAACTAGGCAAAATTGCATGCAAAAATTGTATATTAAGGGAAATGCATGCCAAACAATTGATTGCGGGGGGGAGAGAAACAGAGAGAAATCAAAATTAAGAGCTGCATCCATCTCTGCCTTAGGGTAATAATGATTGGTAGCCATAGCTCTGCATTCTGAGGGGCACCATTCCAACTTTTTGACCTATCAAGACATGCACATAAAAGCCACTCCCCACAGCACCTGATGTAAACAGAGCATGCCCACACATTGGCAGCTTGTCACTGACTTCGGTGGACGCAGAATTTCCCTCTGAAGAAAACAAAGATTTAGGAGAGATGAATTTACCATTCACAACCAGATGAAAGGTGTGCTTCTCTTGCTCTTTGTTAATGGGATTGGTCAGAATGATGGTATAATTCCCAGCATCTCTCTCGCTCACTTCGGTGATTGTCAAGGAGTAACCGAGTTTAAGCGTTCGATTTGCAGCTATGGGTTTTCCGTTTTTATACCTGCAAACAAACAAGCAAACAAAGACGTAAGTGTTTGCTTGGTGGGCTTTAAAAAATAGAATGTAATTAGGCAGAATAGATTTACTGAATTATTTCATTGTAAGAATACTTGCCCACTCTTCATAAAGTCCCAGGAATGAGTTACAGCATTATTAAATAGAGTTATAAAAACATGAAACAATTACAATTATAAAAACCAGTAAGCTGCATAAAACCATTATAATGAGCGAACAGTATAGAGTCATCAAAAGGAGGTGGATCCCAGAAAGCTAAATATCTTAACTATCAAAGGTCAGGTTAAAAGCCTCTGTTGATATCCTACATTTTTTTCTGGAGATCTCAGGGATAAAGAAACTCTTTATTCTTATAGTAGTCCTGCAAGGTAGGATTATTCATCATGGCTCAATGGGGATTCTCACATCCATGTGCCCTTCTTTATAGAAGACAGTCCTCTATTTGGAAAGCTTTACATTTAGATGTATTTATTTATTTATTGCATAACATTTATATACTGCTTGATTGTAAAAACAAACAAAAAACCTTCAAAGCAGTTGTATAAGTAGCATTCTGCAAAGCAGTGTCTTCTTCTGGACAATGTATATCCAGATGCATTATGCAATTTTGGCTCTCTTATTATAACCTGCTCCAATTCTTACCATTTTGCATCTGGAGGTGGGTACCCTTTGAATATCACAGGAATCTTAGCCGGCTCATTCAGTCTTGTCTCCACCAAAGATTGCATTCTGCCCGTAACGATGAAAGGTTTTTCTGTCGGAATTTAAGAAGGCAGCAAGAGTTTTTAGATAGCAGATTTCTTCTTTTCCAGAAGTAGAGGTTTTCTTATTGTACGTAGATTTTTTTAAAATTGAGACTAATGGCAACCTCTATTGAACAAGAGGAACCTTCTGTACTCTGGAAGCCCAACACAATTGTCCTAATATGCCTTTCTCAACACCTGCTCTGCATCATTGGCAGCCATGGGGGAGTGCCATGACATCACAGCATGCATTTCCTTATTACATTACACAGGGGAGAGAAGGAGGAACTAAGGAATTTGTCCAGGTGTATCTTGCAAGGTTCCATATCGTCCCACTGTGCTTTTTTGAAGATATTTAAACATTTAGAGTAGAATCTTACTCAAAGAAAGTCCACTTAAATTCAACGGCAGAGCTAACTGAGGTCCATTAATTTCAATGGATCTATTCTGATCTTTATTAAATACAACCCTCAGTATTATCCAGAAATTTGGGTCTGCTTCTCCTGTTCATTTCAACCATGCATGGCAGCGGTGAAAACAATAGTTGGCTGAGTAAAGGTGAATAAACAGGGATTGGCTTCAATTGGAAAACAACCCCCAGTTGTTCCTTTGCAACTATGGCCTCACCTGCCACACATTAGGTGTGCATGGCTGTGGGATGGTCTGGTGGACTAACTTGACCCAGTGGACAGGGGTTCTCCCTGCTGGGCCTATAGGATTGTACTTTACATCTCCATTGTTTCCAGCTCATTTTCTTCCAAAAACAAAGCATGTAATTATAAAAGATTGAGGAAATCCTTGACTTTGGTTTAATAGCTATCTCAATCAGCATAGTGGTCCTGCTCACCTCAGGTCAGCTGTGTCACCTACTGTTTACCAAGAGGCAGAAGGGGAGGCTAGCAAGTTCAGCACAGCGCAAACACGCCAGCAGAGCCAATCTGGTGCTCCCGCCAACATGTTTGCACCGCATCAACCTTGCTGTCAACTCATCCCCTTCTCTTCTACCTGCCATCAGCGACCCAACCAGCTAGAGATCAGGCGAGTGTTGCCACCCGAACATGTCATTGTTTACTGGTCTTGATTTTACTAGTGGTTTATTTAAATCAGAGTCTCTTCTCCCTCAGAATCTTCTTTGCACAAGTATCAAATCTAGGGGGATGCCTTACCGTGAACGATGACATAAATACTGTTTTCCTTAGTCATACTGCTGCTGGAGGCGGTGCAGCTGTATTGACCGCCATCATTTACGGTCACGTGGTCTATGGTGAGAGTGCTCACAAACGTCTTCTTCCCTTCGCTACCAGTTGAAGTCTTTGCATCCCTGATTACAGCATGGCTTTTCTGTAACGGAGTTCAAAGGGATTGATTTCAACATCACCTCTTTAGCCTCCTCTCACCCATGTAACATAAAATGTAGAGGACTTTTTTCTACGTTGAAAAGATGGGGTGGACGATAGGGCTCCTGTGCAGATCTGTAAACAGCTACTCACCCGGGTGAACAAAGATTGTTCCCAGGGGAGTAGGTACGGATGCTTTTGCAATCTGGATAAAAAATGGGTTTCCTGTTGGCATGCCACTAATGATTTATATTGGAAATGCATATCCAGGTGGACTGGCAACACCAGTAACTTTTGTGAACTTACTGCTACCACCATTTGGCAACTGTGCAGAAAGATCAGATTTCTGTAGAAGGTACTATGTTTGAACATCTGCACTTGTGGGGGGAAAATGGCCTCAACAGCTATTAAACAACTATGAAACATGTCCTCTTTTGCATCTGGTTGCCCTTACTCTTAGCACCATGTGCTTTTCTGAATATATCTTCTCCAGCACTATGATGGAACACTATGTTAGTAGGAATTATTGTCTACCCTCAGGAAGGAAAGGAATTCCAAGCATTACTGGTGCCGCTGAGAAGGCAGCAATGGAGGAAGGACGTGAATCAGCCATCCCTGTATGAGTGTGTGGTGGTTGCCGACTGTCTAGCTGTTTCTGGCATGGGTGCAGACTGATGATGTCAACAAAGCAGCTAGCCAGTTACCAACTGCACACTTGCATGGGGCTGGCTGAGGTGCTCCGCAGCTTCCATTGAGGAGGGCAGTCATTCCTCTCACCACGATGCTAAGGCAATTCCTACTAGAAAATGCTTCAGTGACTGCCGCTAAGTTACACACAAATCATCCCAAAGTTGGGAGCTCTAATGATCCCAAGTGTATCATTGTTATCCATGCATTTCTGAGAGCTAGGCAGCAACAACGCAAAGGACCGGCAACCCTTTGGGCTTCAATCCACGAGTTTTATCTTTAAAGGGACGCTACCTTGCTTGCTGTCGTCTTGCTTGATGGGTAGGCCCATGCAAACACGATTGCCACGTTCAGCTCAGTCCTTGCGGTGCAGTTTAGCGTTAACTTCTCCCCTGCAGCCAGCTCTACCTGGTGAGGAGGGCTCATAATAAGGTCATGAATTTTATATCCTGAGTAGAAAAGGGGAAAATGAAGGAATAACAAGTTGAACCAAAGCCACATTGTAAAACTGTCTCCATTTTGGGAGGCAACCAAGACAGTGAAATTTCAGATAAACGAGGGGGTTTGGGAAGTGGGGCCTGGATTGATCTTACTGCTGATTATTTTCAGTTACACTCAGAGAGGACACACTGAAATAAATGCACTAGACTAAGTTTGTGGATTTCAGTGGGTCTTCTTTGAGTATGGTAAGTTTCATATCACCCAGCAAATCCAATTGGCCATAAAATCTGTCAAGGCTCACTTCCCAAAGCTACCACTCTGCCCACCTGCCACACACCTGGTGTCATAATTACACCAGGAACTCATTTTTGCCTCCATGGTTTAAAACCATGTGCCCTGACAGAGCACTTGCAAAGCAGAGTGCATAGGCCTTTGCTTTGATAATAATTTTTATTAATTTTCAATTACCATCCAATAATAGCCTCAATATAATAGTACCAAATTATAATGCAATTACTAATACCAATCATTCAAATACCGAATTGATGGTTTGAATATTTTCTTTATTTCTGCGTTCCAAAATCTTATTAATTTCAATTACATTCCCTTATGCAACATAATACATAATCCCTTATACAACAACTGCAACATTAATAACTTCTATTCGTGTCGACACATTAAATGATTTATAGAACTACAAGTGAGGCACTCAAACAGTGCCTAGGCCTTTGCAAGCCCTGACAACCAGCTGATCCTCAGGCGTACAGCAGGTGGTCATCACTTGGGAAAAAACAGCCTCGGCCCAATCAGAAGGCCTGGCAGATCAGAGATTCTCCTCTGCTGGTTTTCGCATTAATTTAAGGAATGTGGTTGGGTTCAGTGACATGCGGTGAAATTTTTCATAGGGGAACAGTTAGGGCTAGAGGCGCCAGCTTGAGAGGGTGATGGGGGGGATGTTTCACGTGTGAGCATTGCACCTCCCTCCCTAAGCCGGCCAGAAGCTTCCCAAGCTTTGGGAATGAGGTGCCAGAGGAACATTTAGGGGACTAGCCTAGTCCACTGACTGCACACCACTGGTTGGGTTTTGTCAGATGACAGTGGTGGTTGCTCGTGAGTAATCAGTCAGGACTCAGACCTGTCTTTTACAGGTTTCATTTTGGTGCAAAACTATTTACAGTGCAGAGCCACAAGTTCATGTCTGCCTCAATCGCCAGCAGAATCCGGGAGTGGTTGTTTCCAGGATCTCCCCCAAAATAAGAGCTTCGTCACCCCCAGCTTTTCCTTCCTTCTTTGCGTTTTACACCTCTGTGCAGGGTGGGCAATGGAAGAGGCGTGCTTCCCTCCTGGCCAGCTTGGCCAGGAGCGGTGCTGAGGCTCCCAGCAGGATCCTCTGGCCCTTTCCCCTCTTCCCCACTAGAGGTGTGGCTTTCCTCACCACAGGAAGAGGAACTGCTTCGCAAGATTTTGAGAAGTTCCCTGTAACCCAACTGCCCCTCCGCTTCCCTACCCTGTTCCGATGGCAGTACCCTGACATGTTTCTTCGTCTGACTTTCACCCAGACAGTATCGGACAGCCACATTAGTTGAAATCCATACCATTTTAGTTTTAGAAAGATGATGGTTACGTTAAGCAACACAACTTCATGCTGTTCTGCTGAACCCCCTTCCATTAAGCTAAACAAAATGTAAATAACAAATAAGATGGCCACAGAATGGCTTACCTACAACTACCACAATGTACATCACAGATTGGTAACTTTTGCCATCTATCTTTGCTTTGCAGTAGACCATGCTCACATCGTTGATCAAGTTGGTGGGAATAGTGAAGCCTTTCTGACTGTCCCATGTAATCGATTTGCCATCAGGGACAAATATTTTCTCCGGGTACTTCTGCATGGACACCAGGATATATCAATCGGTTAAACTGTCTCAGAGAATTGAAAGGATGTCCAAGTTGTCCACCACATTCTCATCCCACCCACTAACATAGTCTCTTGCCATCAACCCCTCCTCCAAATGTAAAGAAAGTGTGAAGGTGTCAGCAGCAATTAGTCATGGGGACAGCAGGTGCTTTTCTGGTGGCAGCACTGCATTTGTTGGAACAAGGATGGGACAGGTCAAGGAGGAAGGGGTTAGGTCAGAAAAGCTCTTGGGTGACAGTGCATGTGAACATGTGGGGCTACTGCCTCCTTGCCCTACTCCATCCCCACTCCAATGAGCTCAGCATCAATGGGAGGATGGTAATGGCTCTGGTACCCTTCAAGATGCCATGAGTGAGAACTACTAAAACAATGGACAAAAGGCAGCAATTCCTTTGACTTACCGCATACAGAGATACGTTCAGATTTGACGTGGAGCCAAGGCACGGTACCACCACAGTTTTGTTTCCAGTTAAATATACCACACCAATCTGATCACTAACGGAAGTCACAAACGGAGACCGGCCATCGGGAAGGTCTGTAACATCTGCAGGGGGTAGGGGGTGGGGATCAGATAAATACAGTACAACCAGTTTGCAAATACTTCTTAATTTTAAAAGCAAAATGATATACAACAGTGTAAACGAGTGATTCCGTGTTAGGAGGTTGGAGTTCTAATACAGGGGAGCTAATGGCAGGTGGAACCCCCAACAAATCTGTATCCTGATCATAGCACTCTCTGCCCGGCTGAACACAATGATTAGGACTGAGATTACCTCATTCCCCTGCTAACCGGATGATTGATCTGAGGATGGGAGAAAGAGTGATCTACATCCTGTCTGGCCAGAGGCGTCCTTGCTCTCTTGCCAGAGGAGCTGAGACAGAATGAAGAGGCGTGATTTTTGTGCCCCACTGGGCCTGCACCAACTCCTAGGTAGGCCTTGTGTCTGGCCTATGTCCATGTGTGGTTGATGCAGACACCAGCATGTTTGCATGCTCTGGTGTGTGCATGTGATGTGTGTGGCCTTTGCAGCAGCACACATGCTGTGGGTTTGGTCACATCTACCACCTGGCGGTGCAGCCTTCAGGTCCAGAATGTTTACCCACTGCTGCTAAACCCAACTACAGTATATTGGTCGGCTACCGCTCTTCCAGCTTACCGTGTTAACTGCTGATTACAAGCACCAAGGAAACAATTTATTTTGATACCGAATAATTCCTGCGATTGGGATATGTAGCTTTTATTGAATTGTTTTTATTGGGTATGGAATCGTTTTTGAATTGTTGCTTTCTACTGAGTGGTTTTATTGTACACCATCTTGGTATTATTTTAATATATAGAAACTTTTAATAAATTTAGCCTCGATAGCTCAGTTGGTTAGAGTGTGGTGCTGAGACCACCAAGGTTTGGTCCCTGTATGGGATGGCTGCCTATTTCTGCCTTGCCGGGCATTGGACTAGATGATCTCCTTCCAACTCTACAATTCTATGATCATCAATTATAAACATAAATATAGAAAGCCCCAAGCACCCATTATCTGCCTTGAGAATGGAAGCTGTAGTCCTCTCTATAGGAAATGCCAGGGTCAACAAAGAAGTTTCTTTGCTCACAAGAGAGTGTGGGTGTGTGAGGCTCTATGAAGCCCCTTAAAACTTTATACATGTTTACTCAGATGTAAGTCCAATTTCTCTAACAAGACAAGCAAAGGTATAGAACTGCAGCTTTAATCTTCAACTTCCCAAACAGTCAGCACCTACCTTGCACATAAACATACACACTTGACATTGTATGGTTGTCTTGGTAAAGGCACTTGTAGGCTCCCGTGTCATTGCCTGTTACTTTTGTAAGAGTGAGCATCTTACAGTAGACATTGTCTATACAGTCTGTCACCATCACTCGGTTTTCAGCACTGGTCTGGTTGTTAGGCCAAAGCCATTCCAAAGCTCTTTCACCACTAAGGTGGAAACAAATGACAGGTATGAGTAATGGCAAACTCTGACATGATGCAGGAGTTTATCATGGCAGACCCCATAGCAATGCTCCCAAGGGGAATCCATAGTCACACACCCTAAAGAAGAGTCCCAAACTGCAGGGAGCTGTGTTGACCTACTCAATATGGGGATCAGCAAGAGACATTGTCAGTTAAAAGACACATTCCAGCCACGCAAAAGTGCTCAAGGAAGGGGTAGATCAGGGCCAAGGAAGGGTGTGGCTAAGTGAGAATCTCAAGAGGGCTACATGTAGCCCCCAGGCCTCTGGTTCCCCACCTCTGCCCTAAAGCTTTAAACAGGTGAACCAGGAATGCTTAGATACACTTGAATTTCCCTTGGTTCCTTGTTTACATCCTTCTCTTTCAGTTATCATCTATTATGCAATGATAGCAAAGAAAGTCACAGTAAAAAGGGGCGGAAAGTGATTCAGATAAACACAACCATCAATGTGATGCCCCAGCCTTACCTGCAATTAATTTGTAGCGTATCATTGGCTGTCACAGTAATAACAGATTTTTGGATGCTAAGGGATGGTGGATCCAATGAAACAGATGAGCCTGCAAAATAACAACAATAAAAGTAACAATTTTATTATTTGTACCCTGCCCATCTGACTGGGTTGCCCCAGTCCCAGACCAAAGAACATGCCAAATTACACACACTCAACAAAAATGTGATTATATGTGTCATACATAACTCACTCATATGAAAATTCTGCGCCCATGCCTGATCCACGCAGGTCAATGGGATAGGGGTTGTGCATTTGAAGAGTTAAATTAGGAAGGATTTCACACATCATACAGAAATTCATGAGCTCTGTCATAACAGGAAGAATGGGCAGATGGTCAGAGGCTAGCAGCTCAGCTCTGCAATTCATACAGCAAGGGTGGAGTTCCTGTTTTGTTGCACCGCTAACTTCAAGGTCTAACTAAAGGATGTGGGGCATTGAAACAAAGTGAACTTGACTCTACATGATGATCTCATTCTCTCAGGAACAACTTAATTCTTTTCTTACTTTTTTAAATAAAAAACAACAACAACAACCAATTAATTATAAATTCATCATTTGCCAGTGCTTCCAAATAATTAGCCTCATTCGACATTATTCTGAGGAACACATCAATATAAGCGTTAGACCACTGACCTAAAGAAGGGGTCTTTAAACTGGGAGTCTGGTGTGCAAAATGGCTGACTGATCCCACTGCAGCTATTAACAGCAAAGTTTGTGTATGTGAAGATGAACATACAGTGGTACCTCGGGTTAAGTACTTAATTCATTCCGGAGGTCCGTACTTTACCTGAAACTGTTCTTAACCTGAAGCACCACTTTAGCTAATGGGGCCTCCTGTTGCTGCCATGCTGCCAGAGCACGATTTCTGTTCTCATCCTGAAGCAAAGTTCTTAGCCTGAAGCACTGTTTCTGGGTTAGCGGAGTCTGTAACCTGAAGCGTATGTAACACAAGGTACCACTGTATATGAATGTGGTTTGGATTGCAACTCCTATCAGCCCCAGCTAGCATGGGCAGGGGACTGGTAGGGGTTGCAGACCAGAACAGAAGTTGATGGAAGCTGTAGTAACTCCTCTCGAAGTTAACATAATCCTATTGCTCAGATTTTTAGAGGATGCTTCTTTTGCTACCCAAGAGCTGAGAATTACACAGAGCTTAAAATTCATCTGTTCCTATAAAATAGGGTTGCCATCTTTCAAAAAGTGAAAATCCATACACAAAAGTTGAGCTTTTTTTTCCTTTTATTTTTTTGCAAAAACTCTAAAACAAATGACGTTTTTTGAGCTAGACTTCCAACATGTGTTGCCATATGTCTGGATTTTCCCACACATTGAAGCAATTTTCACCCAGTCACTGGTTCCGAATGCTGTATTTCAGCTATGTCCGGGAAATATGGCAACCTTACTATAAAACCTATTTCAAGGAAGATGTTCTAAGCGTTTAGGTAAGGTGTTCCAAGCATTCGTTGCACTAATTGTGTGGGTTAAGATAACAAGTGGTTTTCAAATGATGCCCCCTCAATGGAATGGCAGGCAAGCTTTTTTAAAAAGGCAACTATTGATCCTTCTCCCACAGTATTCAATAAAGTGGAAAATAACTGGGCACATTCTAGGGCACGCAGTCAGCTCTCATGGCAATGGCAAAGTCCAGCAAGCCAGATTAGTGTCCCACAAGAATGAAAGCGCATCCATAGTTCAATGATGGCCATAGCTCAGTGGTCAAGGACCTCATTTGCTCCAGTTCAATCCTCAACATCTCCAGGTAGGTCCAGGAAAGACTCCTGCCTGAGTCTCTGGTGAGCACTGCCAGTCATTGTAAACAATACTGAGTTAGGCGGGCCAATTTTCTGACTCAGGGATGAGACAGCTTCCTATAATGGAAGTCACATTCTTACATATGGAAGTCGAGAATACGTCTTTCCAGAACTGAAGCCCCGGTTTCTAAATACGCTTGAGATTCCAAAACGATGCTTTTAGTAATTCATATCTGATATGTCACTTGAAACAGGAGCTCTGTTCCATGAGCAATACCAAAGAAACACTCAAACACAAGGAGAGGAAGGGGAAAATGCAATGTAAATACGCTGCTATGAAAGACTGTAATTCAAAGACAAAATGGAATGTCATAAGGTCCACTGGCAAACCATTATTCTATCATTATTAAGCTATGGCAGTAATAGTTCAATCATGAGTTGCTTTTCATCTGAATGTATGTCACTCGGACAGATTTTACAATCCGTTTTGGCAGCCACTGGCTCAAAGGGGAAAATGAATGCTAGAAAACAGCTATAGGATTGTTAGCATGTCTACACAGAAAGACTTACTCCCAGGTAAGTGTACGACTAAAACTGCAACCTCACATTGTCCTTTCATCCTAAATTTATTATTAATATGAAATTACTTCTCTCATATTAACTTATTTTTTGCTAGCATTAAAGTAAATATATTAATAAACATTCTAAATTATCAGCTCTGTGGTGGTCTGCTTGCATTTCTCTTCTCCAAGCCATGTGACTCCTGGCACTACATCTATCATCTTAACTATTTAATTGTTGTTTCACTGATCCCTAAAACTCAGCAGCCATCCAGCAAGAACTGTACAGCTGCAGCCCTAGGCCCACTTACTGTGATTTCCTTCTGAGTAAACAGGCATAGGACTCTGCACTGCTATCTGCCATTGATTTCCACAAAACATTTGCTAAGATTGTGCTCAAAGTGTATCCCTCAACTCAGGTAACCTTGGAGCAAACCTGCCAAATTCACATATTTATGTGGGTCACAGAAGCTCAGAGAAGACAGGAATGGTGCCAAGCATAGATTTATCTTCCCAGTTGGGTATCACCAGTGAAAGCCAAACAAGCAATAATGGGTGTGGGAGGAGGAGGAGGGGGATTTTGAAAAGAAAAAGTAAATTATATGAAACCTAAAGTTGCTCAAAATACTCAAGAAGTCCAGCTCTTCCTTTCTGATCTTACTCTGAATACCAGTCACTGGTGAATAACCATGAGGAGAGACCCAATGGTTTTGCTTGTGGCCTTCTGAAAGGCATCTGATCGGTTCCTGTGTGAAACAGAAGCCTGGACTAGATAGACCCGGCATAGGCAAACTCGGCCCTCCAGCTGTTTTGGGACTACAATTCCCATGATCCCTAGCTAACAGGACCAGTGGGCAGGGATGGTGGGAATTGTAGTCCCAAAACATCTGGAGGTCCGAGTTTGCCTATGCCTGAGATAGACCTTTGGTATGATCCTGCAGGTCTTTTCTTAACTTCTTAAAACAGGCTTAATGGGAAAATTGGGGGGTGATATTCCCAGAGCCTTGATCCTCTGCTCACCAATATGAGAAAGCACCTATTTCATGCACAGCACATACCATACTTTATGCGGCACATAGAACAGCACTGCAACAATAACACTCCAGTTATCCAGCTTTCAATAAGAAAGCACCATAAGCAAGCCAAAAGAGTCCTTTAGCAAAGGCAGATCAAGGGGAGCGTGATTGGTCGGGTCGCACCGAGTGCTGAACTCTTGGGGCTTTGCAGCAGACACCGCAACTATGACACCCTAAGGAAGGTGAGAGGCAGGGGTGCTGGATTTTGGTGTTGCACAAGGTGCCACTGAAATTTGAGGAGCCAAGGTCTGCCACTGCCTTTAGCCCTTCAGACCATTAGCAGCACAAGTGGTTTGCTCCTTACCTGCAATGCTCACCACCTCACCATTAGCACCAACAACATAAAACTAGATGCCACTTGGTAGACCTCAATCTACCTATGGCCACAGACGCTGTGTCCTGGGGACCTCCTTCAAATAATCACGGTCCTTCTGTTTTGCTGCTGCTTTCCTTTGTCATTGTACAAACCTCATTGCAGTTCAAACGATTAGTTCAAATATCCCAAGAATCTCCTTCCGCCAACTCAACTTGCTGGGTTAGCATTTGGTCAGTGGTATTGTAGAATTGGAAGGGACCACAAGCAGTGCCCGATTTATGTATAAGCTAAACAAGCTATAGCTTAGGGCCTCGCTCTCTTGGGGGGCCCCAACAAATTTAAAGGGGAAAAAACCTGGATGTACATTTCCAAAATATAAGATAAAAAACAAATAAAATAAAACCTACATAGAGCAACAGTGTTTTGTATTGTGTAGGCTCCTATGATGTAAGTAATGGGCCCCACCTGCTATATAAAGGGCTCCGTTACCTTCAGTAGCTTAGGGCCTCATCAAACCTCAATCCAGCCCTGACCACAAGGGTCTTCTATAGTCAACCCCCCTTGCAATGCAGGAATCTTTCACCCAACATGGGGCTCGAACCCACAATCTTCAAATTACCGTATTTTTTGCACCATAACACTCACTTTTTTCCTCCTAGAAAGTAAGGGAAAATGTCTGTGCGTGTTATGGAGGAAATGCCTATGGGTGGCATGCCTACGGATTTTCCTCCTCTAAAAACTATGTGCGTGTTATGGTCGGGTGCGTGTTATAGAGCAAAAAATACGGTACAAGTCTCATGCTCTGCCGACTGAGCTATCCCAGGTAGCATACTGCTGTTTGGCTGAATTTTCCCTTGTTGCATTCTCTTTTGTTTTTTAACTCACACCACTGTCACCTTTGCATGTGCATGGCGCTAATGGTTTAGAATATGCAAGTGCATGCCCTTTGTCATGGACTTTGCTGCCATAGGATGTAGCGCTCAGTGAAGGCTGGCCCATTAGGGCAAATGGGATGTTGTGCCACAAACCTCAGCCTGCCCCACCTGTCTGCCTTCTTACCAGCCCAGAGATTGGCATAACCTGTCAGCATCCTCATCCTTAAGTCTCTTCTTAAATTTTATTTTGTATATCATATTTTGTACTGCATCACCAATTCAAACCTGTTCATAAATGTATCCTTTATACTTCCTTTAAGTTATTTCTTACTGCTTGGGTTTATGTCAATCCTGTTAATGCTTTTAATTGTCTTCATATATTCAACACATTTTCTGTTTTTTAAAAAAAGTCTCTCAACTTGATCACTTATTCTTCCGGTAAGTTTCGCCATCTCTGCGTAGTCCATCAGTTTTAGTTGCTGTCATCCTTAGTCTCAGTGATGCCCTTTGTGGAACTAAAGATGGGAGATGGATGGTGGTGAATCTAGAATTTATTGTCTCAGCCTGTCGTTGGTTCCGGCTCCATTTATCATTGCATCGTTCGCTCTACTACTGGTGGGCTCCCTGCCTTTTGCACGCTCCCCGCCCCCGGTCCCAGTGGTATCACTGGTTGCAGTGTCAATGGGTTAATAATCCCAAAGGGTTAGGTAAAGCAAGACTGGCAAGGACTTTGGGAGGTATTTCACAAAATGAATGTCACCTCTGAGCCAGGGAAAAGATGTATAAAAAGCAGCACGTCACACACACTGATGATAATAACAACAACAACGATAAAGCTCACCAACGTAGTCCCCCTCCTTCCCAAAAAAGCTCACCAACTTAGCCAAAAAACAGTCAACAACTTTTGTGTCTGGATTTTCACTTTTTGAAATATGGCAACCCTGTGATAATAGCATCAATTATTAAGGATGGTGTGAAGACTGCATGCATGTCCATCCCTGCCCCTGTAATTGACAGTGGTTCCCTGTGGTCCGTTGTGTGTTTTTTTAACATACCAACACGAACATGTGCAGACATGCACATTATTTGCAAATGATGGCGTAGTGCCATGGTCAATATTGCACCATCAGTGTGAGTGGTACTTTAGGGAGGCCAAAGAGGGCGGGCTCCTGTCCCAGAAAAGTTAAAATCTATTTAAAATATTAAAATAGATTTATTTATCTGTTGAATTTATATACTGGCCTATACCTGCAGGTCTCAGGGCGGTTCACAGAATCTAAACATCGATTACAATTTTTTTAACCCTTACACAAAAAAGGATTGGGAGGGGGACACTTGTGTGAAATGGACCTGAAAGTGGGTTTCTTGGAGAACCCATGGTGATCCTTCTGGAGGGGCAGGAGGAGATTTGGAGCCAGGGCCCTAAATCCTCTCTTCCTTACTCTCCAACCTCAGCCTCCCTCCCTGCTGCTAAAAAAGACCCAACAAGAAGTTTGAGCCCTTCGGCCAGCCACATCCTTGCTCAGCTGAAATGCGGAGGGGAGGGTGGGGAGAACGAGACAGAGAAAGCCCCCAAGGCTGGGCCACTCCAGCTCATCCAGATAACCAAAGTAGCTTCAGGTCAGCTGTATCAGCCCGGTGCATACGGCACAAGGCTAAGCCTTGCCTGCTCTGAAATCACTCGTCCTGAATTCAATGGGGTTTATTCCCAGGTACGGGGCGTCGCCGCCTTGGCCGTCGTTGGCTAGAGCGCGGTACTGACAACGCCAAGCTTGCAGGTTCGATCCCCGTGCATTACAGGGGGTTGGACTAGATGATCCTCGGGACCCCTTCCAATTCTATGATTCTATGACCAGAGAAGCCAACATGTTGCGGAAGGGTCACGCGTCGCCAAGATCACCTGCGCATTTTGGATTGGGCTCGCTAGGTGCGCCAGGCGCTGCGCAAGACAACGCGGAACATCGGCACTCAGCAGAGCGATCCCGGCCACGTCTACTCGGAAGTAAGTGCAGCTGAATTCGGTGGGGCTTCGTTCCAGTGAAAGGGGCTACGCTTGCAGCTGGTTCTTTCCACCTTTCTTTGTGCAAAAAGCCCCCCACCCCACCCCGCGCGCGTGCGCCAAATTCATCTATCCTTCGACAGGCTATTTCTTCCCCCAACCCAGGGAATTCCTCGGGACCTGGGGAAGCGGCGGGTGGGGTGTGTGTGAGTGTGATCTGTGCCAATCTAGCTTGGCTGAGCTGATTCCATGGATCCTGGGGAAGGGGAGCCCCTAGGAGATCGGCAAAGTTATCCACCAACCAACCCAACAATAAACAACAACAACACCACACACACACACACACACACACACACACTCGTGCGCTCCTCTTACCCGCCTCAACCAGCCCGGGCTCCGCGGCAGCCCACAGCGCCAGGATCAGTCCCAGTCCCGCCGCCAGCTCCATGTCTCCTCGGAGCAACAAGAACCACAACAAAACGCGGGTGGCAGAGCAGGTCAAGTCCAGGGGAAGCTACCCAACCCCGGGTGATCTCTATTATAGCCCAGACATCAGCTGCGGGGCCAAAGCCTCAGCCGCTTTGCCTTCGATCCGACCGCTTCAGCTAGCCAGAAGATCCGCGGAGCAGGCGCGACAAGCGCACTTCCTTAGGCGGGGCAGAGAAACAATATTTCTGCGGATTCTCCTCGAGGCGCTCCGATGCCCCAGCAGCCTGGCAAGAGTCTTCCCCGCCAGGCGGGGTTTTGCAAATCCGTGCCGACCAATCCCCGGGCCCAGCGCTCCTTCGGAGGAGGGGCTTGACACGCTAGCCCCGCCTCCGACCCTGATGTTTCTCCCCAATGCTGTCCCTCTTCTTCTGGGGTGAATTACTCGGAGCTTCAGCCTCAAGACCCAGAGGCAAAAAAAAAGGGGGGGTGGATAAAAACAATTCCTGTATCATTTGGGAGGTGTACTTCTGAGATTCATTTCCACGCTTTTCTAGCTCCCACTGGGACTACATGTGTGTCAAAGTTCTGCTTTCTAACTAAATTGAAAGTTATTGGCTTGCAGTTCAACCACATGTTTCTGCAAACATCTTCCCGGTTGTGATGGGTACAGAGGTGTGAAACTGACCTATTTTTAAAGTTTTCAAGCAACTGTGTGGCCAAAGTCCGGTTGATGGGTTGTACCGTGGCAGTTTTGATACCTTCCTGAGTAAGATTGAAACTAGTTTCAGTAAAAGCGTATTTCTATATATGAATGACTACAAGTGGAACCTGCAACAACTTTGTGTGTCCAGATATTCACTTTTGAAATATGGTAACCCTACAAAGCGCACATTTTTTTTAAAAAAAGAAAATGGACTCTTTGCAGTTAAGAAAGTGATGGGGAATCATTCTGAAAAATATGGGATGAATTCATGGGAAGATGTATAAACACCCCACAAGCAAATCAAAACAAATGTTCCATATAGACCGGACATAGTCTAAGCAGCGCATTTTATGCAAGGGAATTAGGATGAATGCTAAATAAACATTCCTCATCTAGAGGAGCCTAACAGAATTATTGTGGCACATTAGTCAGTGGATGATATCGGGCTTAAATGTTTTGCCTGCTTTTTATTGCATATATATATATATGGGTTCTTGTAAACCGCTTTGATATTTTAAATGAAATAGTGGCATACAAATATTTTAATAAATAAAAATAATAAATAATGTTTTGTGGACTAGAGCCCAGCTCATCAAATGCATGAAGTGTTGTACTCTGGTTGAGCATGAGGAGACCATCTTAATCCTGATCTCAGAATCAGGAGTGACTTCCTGTGCATTAAGATTTGTTACGTAAGACTCATTTCCAAGATCTCTAGCTTGACTTAAGTCTGTTTAAAAAAAAGAAATGAAAGACCTGCACATCTCCCATTAACACTGGAAACGCAATCTCTGCTACTCTGGTGGCCCAAATCTCATTAGACGCAACTTGCAAAAGCTCTGCTCTGAAGGCTCTGCAGGGAATGAGGGGAGAGCAGACCCCTCCCAGCCATTCCCAGTCCACTTCTTCCGCTCCTGCTGTTCCTCTGCATCAGTCACGATTTCTCTTCCTCAGACCTGCCACAAACACCTCGTGCAGACAGGCAGGAGGGTCTGGTTGAAGGAGTCTGGACAGGACAGGAGGCAGCAGGAGCCCAGGACAACAAGCTGCCTTTTGTTTCCTTGATTGTTGAAAACAACAAGTTCGGAAGTGAGATCCAGGCAGAGAAGATCCTAGCTTGTCGTCTGCGTTATCATTTCTGGCATCTGTGGGCATCTGTGGGCAACATGAACAGCTTCCTGTTTAGCCCTCTGAACTCAGAAAAGAAGGTAGAGCCATTCCTTTTCCTCTGTACTGTGCTTATAACTGTCCTACTTAATAAAGTCACAGCACTGTTGAGGCATGTGAAAGCCACTGAAGCTGGCATCTTACATTTCCTTGGGGGTAAACCCCATGGAACTCAATAGGGCTTGAGTTTTGCTTGGGCTTTGAGATTTGCTTTTGGCCATACTAGTCATCCCCTCACCCCAGAAAATAGGATTCCTTCCTGCCCCCTTTGCCTTGAAGACTTTGGCTTGCTTGCTTCACCTTCCAGAGGACTTCCATATAACTACATACAGTGGCACCTCAGGTTAAGTACGAGGTCCGTTCTTAACCTGAAACTGTTCTTAACCTGAAGCACCACTTTAGTTAATGGGGCCTCCTGCTGCTTCCGCGCCGCTGGAGCAAGATTTCTGTTCTCATCCTGAAGCAAAGTTCTTAACCCGAGGTACTATTTCTGAGTTAGCAGAGTCTGTAACCTGAAGCGTATGTAACCTGAAGCATATGTAACCCGAGGTACCACTGTATAGGGAGAAGTGGTTTTGCAAAAGGACATGAAACATGTTTGATTCATACACTATCCGGGTGCTGACATATCTTCCAGCTGGATTTACATCTGTGCTGCTCTTAGGTTAAAGTATAGATATGCATATTTTTACTGCTGCTTTGCAACCTGTAGTGATAATATTCAAGGGAGATAATGTAATTATTTTTCCCCTGGTCCAGCCAGCAAAAATATTTTGACTTTGGAGGATGGTGCAAAAAATAAAAACAAATTTATGCAACCCGAGGGAATGGGCCCTAAAAACGGTTTGGGGAATGTTATTTCTGTACTGCTATGGATAAACAGGTTTATTAAATGGAAATATAGCCGGTGGGTTTCACATAATAGCAAATAACCTTTGGATGTGATAGCAGTTTGTTTGCTATGGGGCAATTGGGGCTACAATTCTATATGCACAGACCTGAATGTAAGCCCCTTTCAATACAGTACGACTTACATCTGAGTAAACATGTATAGGATTACACTGTATGAGGTAAATTTAGCCATTTCCCTAAGCGTCTTGCCGCTTATGTACTCTTAAGATTATATAGGATCACTTAATAGTGATTACCAGTACTTATGTTTTAACAATTAAATGATCACGAGTATACTCCCTTGCTTTGTAAATTTAACATGTATCAGTGGCTCACGGGGTTTCTAGAGGAAAGGAGAGAAAATAAATAAACCACAGAAGAAAACTGAGGTTAGACCACCGCTGCCGAGACATGAATGAACTAAAGTTTCATCATGACTGTGTAACGTCCAGAACCAGTGAAAGTCATTTTCCAGTGCCCCTTGCCTTCTTTTTAAACAGGCCTGTCATCAGGAAAATGAGCTGGGAATCACTCCTTTCACTTCCTCCCCATTAGATCCACATGTTTCCTGACCTGTTGGCTTTTTCAGCAGGGAAGCTTGCCACCTGCGCTTCAGATCTGTCAACACTACAACGTCCTGTACCTGTCACATGTCCAGAAATTGTTATTTCAACAAAAATGACCACGCAGGACTACTCTAGTTATTCAGCAGGCGGGCATTTATTGGATTTCTGGTTCCTTCACCTTGGGCTTGATGCTCATGGTGCCCTTCCCATGCAAACGGACTAAATATCCAGGCCAAAAAATGAGTTTGCTTTCACGTTTTAGGAATAAAAAAATGAATCCGGCAGTTTCAGACTGGTCTTGTTTTTCAGTCCAGGGACATTTTTATTTCAGTCTCCATTCGTATGTGCAAATTTTCATTGCCCCTGTGAAATTGAGTTCTGGAGCTCGATTTGCATAATCATTTTTGGCACACTGACTAGTAACATTGGCACCAACAGGACATGGCTCAGGCAAAAGGTGAACTCTGTGCCATAGCTAGGGAAAGCTGGGCAGGACAAGTGACAATAAAGTTAAGGTCCTTTCACGTAAGTGAATAATGGTGTGGCAGCTACCTGAACTGTAAGGAAGGCAGTCTCACATGGCAAACTTTTCCTGCGAAGCAACTTCTCATGCAAATGGCTTGGCACAGAGGTGGGAGACCTTTTCCACCCTGAAGGCTACATTCCCTTCTTGACAGCCTTCCAAGTGGTGGGTGAGACCAGAGGAAAAAAGAGGGGGAGGACCAAATTAAATGGGCAGTAGGATAATTTCTAGGGGAAAAGGTGAAGGACTTCTGGAGGGTTAAGCGCTCATCTCGCTTTCAGGCCAAGGAAGCTGGCGTTTGTCCACAGACAGCTTCCCGGGTCATGTGGCCAGCATGACTAAACCACTGCTGGTGCAATGGGACACCGTGACGGAAACCAGAGCACACAGAAATGCAGTTTCCCTTCCCGCCACAGCGGTACCTATTTATCTACTTGCACTGGTATGCTTTCAAACTGCTAGGCTGGCAGGAGCTAGGACAGAGCAACGGGAGTTCACTCCATCGCGGGGATTTGAACCACTGACCCTCCGATCAGCAAGCCCAAGAGCCTCAGTGGTTCAGACCACAGCGCCACTCATGTCCCTGTTTTAGTTTCTACACACAGTTGCACACCCCTCTCTGTCCTCCATCCAGGGAAGCAAGGGTCGGGGTCAGAGTTCAAGGACACATTCCAGCTAGGTAAAAACACTTGGGCTGTGAAGCAGGGACCAAGAGGGGAGACTTCTGAGAGCCAGATAGAGAGGAATTAGCCCCCTACCCCAGATTGAAGTTCTCCACCCCGGTGTAAGATGTGAAACCAGCAGCGGAGTGAGCTTTCATAGTTCCTGGGGCACACACACGTGCACCAGAGGGGGCACAAGGTGCCAGGTGCAGAGGGCGAACACAGCCCATCCTTCGGTGCTGCCATTGCCACCGGAGAGACACCAGCCCTGAGCCACTTTGCGAGGCAGGGATCTGATCAGATCCCAGCCTTGCAAAGCAGCTCGTGGAGGGTGGTGTGAGAAGTACGCAACAGCCATGTGCCCTTTGACTCCAGCCCCTCGAGGGCAAGGTTGGGGTCAAAGGGTGCATGGCATCCTTCTTACACTACCCTCCTCAAACTACTTTGTGAGGGATCTAGTCAGATCCCAGCTTCACAGGGCTGCACAGGGCTGGCAGTACGAGCAGCGCCTCCCCTCCCAAAAAATGCTCCCGCGGCCATTACCCCAGCAGCCCCCACTCCATGTTTTGCCTCTGTGTGAAACTTCCTTCACCCATTGCCTTATTTTCCCAAGCGCCACTCGGGTCGTTCAACATTACATTCCGTGAGTGCGGGATCTTTGTGCCTGTGCACACACGTAATTGAGCTGCAAGCTCATACTCATAACCTTTAATAAGTGTAAAATCTGGGCACACAACGGCTGAGCTATAATTGTGCACTTTCTTGCACA